GAGGTTAGATCCATGTTCATCGAAGAGCACGAAGGATCCAGGAATCCTCCTGGAAGTCGAAGTGTCATTCCATAAACGAGTTGAGCCGCAGAGTATCCAATGTCAGCTTTCACTGCATTGCGGATACCTAGTAAGACGAGTGGAAGAGCATCGGTCCACTGTGAAACGTTTGCAGCTGATAGCGAAGCTTTTAGTTGTCGGTGAAAACGTTCTACCAACCCGTTTGCTTGTGGGTGGTAGGCAGTCGTTCGGAAGCGAGTGATTTCTAAATGTGTGGTCAGACAACGGAAAAGTTCAGATTCGAACTGACGTCCGTGGTCTGTAGTGATAGTTGAAGGACAGCCGAAGTTTGCTACCCATCGTTCGACGAACGCGCGGGCCACTGTTTCAGCAGTGATGTCCTTGATAGGTACTGCTTCTGGCCATCGAGTGAAACGGTCTACGCAGGTTAAGAGATAAGAGTATCCATTTGAATCTGGTAAAGGTCCTACCAAATCCAGATGAACATGGTCGAAACAAGCATCGGGAGTTTTAAATGAGCCTAAGGGACATTTATTGTGTCTGATAACCTTAGATTTTTGGCAGCTTACACAGGAGCGTGCCCACTCCCTCACGTCTTTATTCATGCCAGGCCAGCAAAACCGTTCTGCTATAAGCTTGATGGTTGCACGAACACCTGGATGAGAAAGTTTGTGCAACGTATTGAAGACATTGCGTCGATAACGTTTCGGCACGATTGGGCGATCCCTACCTGTAGATGTGTCACACAGTAAGGTTTCCTTACCTGTTCCCATCTGTTTGATGCGTAGTTTGAGGGTTGTAGACGATAACTCGTGCTGAAGATCAGTGTCTTCTTTTTGAAGCTGGGCGAGTTTAAGAAGGTCGATTCCTTGGAAACTGTTCAAGGAAGTTATGCGAGATAAGGCGTCTGCAACTACATTGTTTGCTCCAGAGATGTGTTGAATATCTGAAGTAAACTGCGAAATGTAGTCCAGTTGTCGAGACTCACGGGGAGAGTACTTGTCAGAAGGAGAGCTTAACGAGAAAGTGAGCGGTTTATGGTCCGTGAAAAGAGTGAATTCACGGCCTTCGATATAGTGTTGAAAATGCCGTACAGCACAATACATAGCTAGGAGTTCCCTACCGAATGTGCTGTACCTCGATTCGCTGTCTAGCAACCTTCTAGAGAAAAATGCCAAGGGTTGCCAGGAGTTGTTAACCCATTGTTGTAAGACTCCTCCGATTGCTGAGTCGGATGCGTCTACTGCGATACTAATGGGTGCTTCAGTGTCCTGATGTGCAAGCATTGTTGCTTTAGCAATAAGTTCCATAACTGTGGAGAATGCTTTTCGTGCGGTGTCGTCCAGATTAATGGATTTCGCATTTCCACGAAGTTGGTCGGTAAGAGGTTTCATGAGTAACGCGCATTCCGGTATGAATCGTCTATAGAAACTTACAAGGCCGTTAGACGTTCGTAATTGCTTGATCGTGGTCGGTTCTGGGTAATCCAGAATGGCCGCCACTTTGGTTCTAAGGGTTTGGATGCCTTGAGCATCTATAGTGTGTCCTAGGAAGTCTAATGAGTCAGTTTCGATTCGGCATTTCTGAATGTTTACAGTAATGCCATGTTTTTGTAGTCGTTCGAAAACAAGATCCAGATGCTGGGGATGTGATTCTCTGTCCGGACTTGCTATTAGACAGTCGTCAACATACGCATGTACGAAGTTGAGACCTCGAAAGACGTCGTCTATAAACTTTTGGAGGGTTTGTGCAGCGTTCCTTAGACCGAAGGGCATTCGCAGAAATTCGTAAAGTCCGAAAAGAGTTATGATAGCTGTTTTCGGAATGTCGTCAGTGGCCATGGGAATTTGGTTATACGCTTTAACCAAGTCGATTTTCGAAAAGACAGTTGTACCTTTCAAGGTAGCTGTCAAATCGTGAATGTGAGGCAACGGGTAACGATAGGGAATGGTTTTCTCATTCAATCGCTGATAGTCACCAGTTGGACGCCAATCGTTGCTGTCCTTTTTGGGGGCCATGTGCAGCGCTGATGCCCATGGGTTATTTGACGGTCTTATGATACCTAAGTCTATCATGTGGTCGAACTCGTTTTTCGCCAACCTTAGCTTTTCGGACGCGGATGCATGACTGAACACCTTCAGCTCTGTGAGTCCATTAAGACGTGTGGTCAGCATCCAATGTCGAAAACGTAAAGAGCTATTTATTTTTGGTTTTTTGTGCCGCTACATAATTATCAGAAGTTGAATGGATATCTAAATATTCCATCTGGGGCTCCATCGCGACACCAATATTATGATTAGGATTAGAAATCAAGAATCCTAGAAATAACGCAATTGGATCAAGTAATACTCGATAAGCATGAACGAATGTGCTGTATTTGGATTTGGAATTCAAGCATTCAACAAGTACAAAGGAATCATTAGTTCATTCAAACACCACAGTTGAGTTACTAAGTCACGTGGATTCGCGCAGTCTGTTAACTCCTGAGCAACATGGGTCACGTAACAAGTATGCATGCTTGACTAACTTAATTATGCGAGAAATGATTGGACAGGAGCCCCAGACAACAACCTTATACTGGCATTTCGTATCTTTAATTATGATTTGAGCGCTGTGCTCCTGTAGATCACCGACGTATATGATCTATGTCGAAAATGATTGGAGGCCTACTCGAGTTAGACGTGAACGGTGTGACAAACTAGCTAACGTCGAAGTCACACCTCGTGGTCAGCACCTTACGTGGACAACCCAATTGACGTATCAAGGTACAATAGATGCTTTGAAGACTGTACAACACACAGGAAGTTATTACAGAAATATATTAGTTAAATTAGATACAGGCGAAAGTGAGACCACTGCCGCATGGGCATGGCATACGATTAACTGATGCGTGTTGGTTGTCCTTAACCTTGACGAGGATCGATGACTTGTTCGACACTCAGTGACCCAACTGTCGGATGATTTGGCTAGGGCTTAGTGACATTTCGCTGGCCCTACAATATTCCTCCACCAGATTTGACGGCCGTTTGAATCGGTACCAAACATGCTGGGAGTAGTCGCGCCGGAGATTACCAAACGATTAATATGAATCCTCCGGATATTGGCGAGCTGTAGAACAAAATGGAAAGTAGGCGGCAGAAACTGATCGGGAAAACAGTGAGTAATAATATGTTAGTACGACGTCGGTTAAACGTAAAGCGATTAACCATAGAAATAATAAAAAGAACAAAAAGTTTTATTGTTCTATCAAGTCGCGCTGAAATATATAGCTTTGACAAGCAATTGAGTTTTTCCGATGAGAAACGTTATGTTTGCCGCAAGAGTAATGATGCCATAGCGATAGTACGATAAGTGTATTATCAATAGATGCCTATGTCTATACTGCCATTGATTTAAATTTGAGTGTCATACAGTGTCGTTGACAGCTTCTAGTTATATCTATATTTAACAGACTAACCGTAAGTACAGAAATATAACCGTGAAGAGTGGTCGTGATTTCGCTGTGCGAAGCTATTAATCAACTTTTAGTCAGAGTTAGAAAAGTTGATGACTGCTGTTACAGTCAGTAAGGGTCGAAGGCTACAAATAGACGGCAAATGTGGCACGGTGAAGTCTCTAAAATATGATAAACGGTGAGTGCTGTGTGTTTGTTCGGTTAGTGAACAGAAAAATATCGAAAAGAACATATGAAACCAAGAGTGTCGCTCTGGACTCATGTCAATGATACCAGTGAAAAACTCTGTCAGTGTTGGGATAGAGGCGACAATGTCGTTTTCAGTTTGCAGGAGATTCGTTCGACTGCATAAACTGATGATTCGCGCGAATGATAATGTCGTCAGACCACCAATTGAACTGGACAGGTTTTAAATCGTCGAGTAGTTGAACAGCCGATTGATGTACCGAAATCATCTGTTAGATAACAGCCACGAGGAGACAATACTTCATAAAGCAAAGTACGACATTGAAGTAGAATAACTAGAATAGTTCAGATGTTATAAAGTCAAATTTAAATAACATCATTCTTACGTATACTGACAGTTTCACTGAACGTTCGTTTAGGTATTATTAGCGTAACAGTTGCACGTGTGAACAAAAACATATAAGAAAACTATGGTTGGGTTCGTGGAGAATTTTCAAGGACGTTCAAATATTTTTCAAACCCGTATTGTATATAAATAACCGAAAATGGGATTGAAATGACCGCCCTGTAATAAGGAAATCGAGCCATGATAGCAAATACTAGGAGTATAGTAATTACTAATTAAAATGGTAACCGCCAATGTAAATTAAGTTTAAAGGGTTCAGGTAACGTGGCCATTTCGTAAAGGCTGATACGAATAGCTTATTACCTGGAGTTAAGTGACATATTACGTACGACAAAGTGTCTATTTAGGACATGGACTATGAACGCTCGTGTACATGCAATATGTTTTACCACAGTATGTCGACTAACGAGTCATAAATATACATGATTTCGACTAAAACTTGACGGCAGTGACGGAATACATGTCTAATTTACGTGAAAGCAACTACGAAACGTTATCACGCATCATAAATATAGTACGAAACAATCTAATGAAATTATGAACCTCGCCTGGGTTACTCTTACTTTTAAGTAATGGCCCTACACTCCCTCCAGCACTCATAATCTACGAGGTCATAGCAAGAAGGTTCACAAACCGTGATCTAATAAACTTAAAGTGAGACCTCGTTTTTCTCATCGAGTTGTCAATTACTGGGACAACTTACCCGAACAAGTGGTATCAGCCCCATTAGTGAATATTTTCAAGGAGAAGCTGAACTTTCACTGGCAGGCAATCGGAAAGGTTTAAAACAGGTTCGCTAATCTACTATCCTTATTGCTGAAGACTAAAAACTGAACTTCTTACTACAATTTTTAGCAACTCAACATTTGAACCATTTAATTGAGAGCCCGTCTGTCCAAACTTTTCCTGAACGGCGCACACGTGAATTAAAGAATGACGTTATCGACTATTTCGGATGAAGCAGAAGCATTAAAAGAAGAAGCTAACAAATTTTTCAAAGGTAATGCATAAACAGACCTCTCACACACAAATATGGACACGTGTTTAACGGTATTTTTCGACTAATAGATGGGGACTATGAAAAAGCCATCGATGCATACACGAAGGCGATAGAAATTCGGGAGACTGCTGTTTATTTGGCCAACAGGAGCCTCGCTTATCTTCGTACAGAGTGTTTTGGCTATGCCTTGGATGATGCTTCTAAAGCTATATCTTTGGATAGTTCTTATGTGAAGGTTTGTCATTTTAATCTTTTTATTTGTCCAGGGTTATTATCGCAGGGCATCTGCACATATGGCATTAGGTCAGTATAAGGAGGCATTAGCAGACTACGAAACTGTAAGTACATAAGTTTTCCTATTAACCTGATATCTGGACATTTAACAGTGATATATTTAAGCTTTGCCGTTTAATACCGAATGAGTTGAACTAAACACGAAGTATAGCAATGATGGAAGATTCACCAATACGTATAATGTCACTCCACACACTTTGTCTGATATCACACGTATTCTGAAAATCCCAATTGTTTGCTTAATTATGTCTTTAAATCATCAACATTTGATGTGGCATTCCATACAGAATCTTCCAAAATTTAAAGATAAAACCAACCTGTGTGCTACTCATCTCGAAGGGCCCTGTTTGTGTTTTGTTTTTATACTTTCGATTGGACTCAGCAACCTCTTCCGCAATAAGTCCTGGAAGGTAGTGCAAGGATCTTCTCTACTATTATACAGCCAATTTCTAACCTGCGAATTTTCTTACCAGTTTACAAAAAATATCTGTCGAACTCTTAGCTACCTCTCAGTATTCAATGTATCACGACTTAGTTTCTTCGGTTTAGTGATGTAAAGGGATATAAAAATTTTAAAGATGGTTAAAACATTGAATTCTGCCTGTGGCTCAGTATCTCTCAATAATCCTTGACAAAGTCACTAAAGTTCGGACATTAATATCCGCTTTGGTACGCGTCATATCTATTCATGTCTTAGTTTGAAGCAGCAACGGTAGGGTAAAAATAAAGGCGTTTCTTTGTCACTAAACTTCTTCGAAGTGTTTCGGATATCTTGTCAATACTTTGTTCTACTGCATTAGTCTTCACGTTAGTCACATAGTTTGATGTATCCTTTATGTTGCAGCCGATAACTCCTGTAGTTGGTTCCTATAAAGGTAGTATAAATTGGTTGGATAAAATGACGTAGATTCATCCTCATACCAGGGTGTTGCAAGTGGAGATTTTAAACTAAGAGGAGAATTTTCTGTCCACAGTGGTATTTCTTTTGTTTGGATTTTCAAGATATGTGATCACGTGGATCTTGTATGGATATCTTATAACATGGGATAAACTGCTGCGCTGCACACTGATAAAGTATTTTGTCACTAATTATTTCCATGTTGAATATAAATTTAATGCCATAATTTATAAACTGTTACCGTAGTCTGATTTGCAATATATTTTATGTCTGTTTAAATAGCATAGGGATATACCATTACGTACATAAATCATTTACATCGTGACTTAAGAAACTTATTTTGTAAGGACATAATCGTACTTTTGCTGTAACTGTTTGTGACAAGCTACTTTTAAAGCAATTTAACCTCAGTAAAATAGCGATTTACTTAATTCATTTAATTCGAACTACAAAGTTTCAATTTCCACCTGGTCTAGCTTTGAAAACCAATAACATCTGGTATTTATATGTCAAGTTATTAAAAATGTCCGCTTTACTATTATCTGCTAATATGAGGTTTCATCTCAACTAGGTTATTCGAGTTGCACCTAGTGACAAAATGGCTCGTGAGAAGTTGACTGAATGCCGGAAAATAATTCGTCGCAAAGCATTTGAAAAAGCCATTGCAGTAGAAGATCAGCCGTCCCCATTAGAATCTTTTGATCTGTCAACAATTACCGTAGAATCTAGTTACGATGGTCCGCACTTAGAACAAGATAGCAATGGAAAATACTTTGTCACGGAGTCGTTTATGTTGGCTTTAATGGAGCACTACAAATCTCAGAAAGTATTACACAAGAAATATGCCATTATAGTAAGTTGACATTTTTGTCCAATTTAGCAATTTAACAGCGATATGCCCATTCCATATTCTAAATAAAGTAATTGCCAAGTTACTTTAATTTGAATCAAACAACTCGCAACTTTATCATTTTCCACAAAAATGCGCCAGCTTAACTGGATATTTATACTTTCCTGAGTGAATTTCAAATTATATTTAAGTTGGATCTCAGTTAATATTGTGGCTTTTGTTATGAATGCAAGTCGATTGATATCCAGAAGAGCTATTCACTAGTAGGTCTCGTAATGTTCCCCTACCACCTCTCCGCTTTTTGCAATCGGTCCTAGCGTCAGCAAATAATGTATGACGTGGAATTCTCTGGGGCGACATTCATAAAATACATATCTAAGCCACTGAAGTCGATGTTTCAAGATAGTGACACTAATTGAATTATCGCCGCTGTGCCCGAACACGATGTCGAACCTCTGCATTAATAGCATAATGTTGCCACTGGATGTCAGCAATCCTTCGGAGACAACGATGACCAGACACACAGTCGCCTAACATCATCAGCTCGGAGAGGCCAGGTTTCACAAGCATAGAGTAAAACTGCTCTTACCGACGCCTTGTAGATCCGACCTTTTACAGCCGGACTAACATCACGAAGGCGCCAAAGATGGCCCAGATTGGCATAAACTTCTCTGGCTTTCATTATACGTGAATTTATTTCATCATTCAAACTATCAACAGCACTTACGCAGCTAATTAGATACACGAACTTCTCAACTACTTGTATCCGCTCACTACCCAGGGTGAGTGCAGGATTATGGTCCTGCCAGTTTTGTGAAAGTACTTTGCATTTCGAAGGTGCAAAGCACATACCTTACCTACGGATACTGATTGCCAACTGATTTAGTGCGGATTGCATGACTTGGGTATCATCACACAGTAAAATAGTATCATCCACATACTCAATGTTGAAACGTCTTTCTCCAGGCAACAGATCTGCACCATCATTACCTACATCCGTCAGAGCTATTCCCAGAACGTCATCAATGGCAAAGTTGAAGAGCAATGGTGATACTGAGCAACCCCACTGCTTGAATGGAACAGTAGAGAGAGATGGTTATATGCCCTAATTCTGCCTGAGGTATTTGTATATAGGGCTTTGGAGATATTATTAAACTTCTCAGGCACATCCTACTTCAATAGACAATACCAGTGAACCAGCCTGCACATCTCGAAACAATCTTTCTTGGATTTTGAACAATCTACGAAGTATGACGGAATTCAATAGTTTGGACGCAATCGAAAGCGGACGTATCCCCGACGGTTGTTACAGAAACGACATGAACCCTTTTTAAGGATAATAACAACTATTGACTCATTCCATGATGTTGGAACACTCCCTAATTCCCAGACCATTCTAAAGAACTTAGTTAGTTCCCTAACCTGAAAGTCACCACCATCTTTACAAAGGACCGAAGCTAAGTCATCTGAGCCTGGTGAATTGTAGCGCTTCAAGAGTCGGAGTTCCTTGCGGAATTCTGCCTCGTTAGGTGGACCAGTCGTCACAGGCCATGGAGAGCAGGACAGTGATCGATGTTGCCGGAGCAGCAGACCAGTTGAACTGGTACTCGTCCAAGACGTCGATTGGTGTTAATGGTTGGCATCTCGTCATCTTCATAGATTGTTTCGCTCACACCAGACTTCTCGCTGCCAGTGACTTGGATGAGTTGAAAGAGCTCCCAGCAGTTACCGGACGCAATTGCTGTTTCCAACTCAGTGGCACGCTGCGACTACCAGGCTTCTCGGTCCCTACGCAAGCTTTGCACAATCTCATTACGTAACAGTCCTCGTTTATGATCAAACTCACAGCCATCCGGAGTAGACTGACGTACTTCAGTGATTTGTAAGGATGCTGTAGAAACCCTGTGCCTATAATTGGGACGTTTCGCGGAGCCGCATGCAACTTTACTCGCCATTTTCATGGCGTCATGCAAGTGCATTCAACGCTCATCTATACTTTTCGGTGGATGGTAGCTAGCCTTGAACCCAGTTGGCTTTGACATTTATTTGCAATAGAAGCTGCAACCAATTGGCTGATATCGATCCGTTTGGGACGATAAATTTGTTGGCCGCTGAAACGTAAGATAAAATTGACGTAAACAAGAGCATGATCAGAGTCCAGATAGATACTCCACAAGGAGTGGCAGTCTTGTACACAACTACGCCAGTGGTAGGTGATCGCGATGTGATCAATCTGAGTCCAGGTTTGAGATGCAGAAGGAGGACGTCAGGTGACGCATGGGCGATGACTGTAGTGGTAGGTAGTGCGAGCCGGAAACAGGTTGTATTCTGCAAAAAGTTGTGGTAGGTGGTCACCGTTATTCAACCTGCGACAGACAAGCCCTTATTGGCCACTCAAACTATTCTCTTTTGTACCTAGACACCTGACCTAAGCATCCAAGACTCCGGCTAGTGCTACAATATCTGTCGTACACACTTTCTGCAGAAGAACTGTTAAATGGTGGTAGAACTCATCCTTGATCGCATCCGGGCTGCAATCTGTCAGAGCAAATGTGTAGATATCTTTTTTCACACCGATTCTTTTCGCACTTTGATGTAGCTTTCTAACGTAACAGCACATAACAGACTGTTGATGGAGATCCAATCGGTCACTGCTACCTCAGCTCTTGTGCTTAGTGCAACATCAATGCTAGGAAAATCAGACAAAGATGCCACAGGGTCCCCAGATAAACGTACGTGAGTCAAGCTTTTTGAAGCGACAGATGGAGAGCGAATTTGTAGTACTTCACTGGATTCTTGAATATGGTTCTCGGACGGACAACAGACATCGATGCTGAGACTTTCTACAGAAATACTCCCCTTATCTGTTGTCTGATCTGGGTTAAAATGCGAATGTTGAAAGAGACCAGTTTTGAATGGTGTATGTGGTTTTAGAAAGACTGCTCCAGGATTCATAGTCGGTGATAGCATCCAACTTTCTTCGGCCAGTCAGTGACTCAAGATCGTTTAGATAGGACATGGTTTCCGCCATAGGAAAGCTGCTGTAATGTTGAAAAATAAAAAATAAAATAAGATACGCAAAATAATAATAAAGAGGAATGCATAAGTGTCGTAGCATAAATGAAATATAAACGAATGTTATCGTATGATTGTAAATAAGATTTTTCTTAGCGAGCATTAAAATCTTTTCAGCAGTTGTTATCATTGTTTTGTATGGGGGCTATAATACTGTCCGCGTCCCCAAACCAAAGCAGGTAGTTTTATTATGTTGTCACCTAAAGTCTTTAACCTAAGGGTCTAATCCAAAAGGCAGTGAAGCAACCCTTATTGGTTCACAAAATATTCATTTTTTAATTTCATTTCTCGGTGATATAATAGTGCACAACAAGCGACAGTGCAGTAATATATATTATGTGAATCAATATACTTTATTTATTTATTTATTTAAAACACATAAACATTGGTACAAGGAGGCACCAAATAGATATGCGCCACATAAATCATTCGATTTGTGTGAGGGCTGTGACACTGCCCGGGTGCTCAAACCGAAGCAGGTGGTCTTCTTGAGGAGTCACACCCCGAGCCTTTGACCTTAGGGTCTGACCCACAAGGCAGTGGAGCATCGTGAGGAGATGCAGTCCCATGGTAGCCGGTGACCAACGATTGGTTCATACGCCATTTGTTCCATCAGGATACTGGAGCCCATGTGCACCATTGGTTTGGTTTGGGATCCGGTTAAAGCGCCGGACATTCGCTTTTCGTCCTCTCATTTGCGTAAACAACACCCCCGCCACGAAAAGGCCGTGTGTAGGACTTCCCTGGCAGAGGCTGTATACGCGTGGCCGTGTGAGAGCATTTAGAGAGGGAGGTCTAATATCATTAATAATTGAACATCCTTTAATTTCATTCTCTTCTTATGAACCATATTTTCTTTTCATAGTTTACTAATGTCTTTGGTATCATTATCGTGATTTTGTTTTAATCTGGTTGACTCTTTACTGCTGTGCTAGTATGAAGTCGATACACCTAGATTCTATGTTCTAAATCACGTGACTGAGAGACTGAAATCATTTATGTATAGCATTTTATTGCTTAAACACTGATCTGGTCAATATCAAGGTATCTAAAGTCCGCTTTCAGTTGACCTTGCGCTTTACTAATTAATTGTTTTGCTAAAAGACCGAAAGTCACCGAATTAGACTCATCCTTCCTCACTACTTACTCCCCTTCCTAACTAGCTCCAAAATTAGGTAAAAAAATTTCATTGTTAATGAGTATGAGTTGCGTCTATTTCTAATATGATAGCGTTTGCTGTGTATTACAATATGTCCAATACAATATTTATTTTTGTTTATTTGTAGATAATGAAAGATATTTTCTTATTTCTTCGCGGTTTACCAAGTTTGGTAGACATTAAAGTCCCAGAACAGTCTAAGTTTACTGTTTGTGGGGATATACACGGTCAGTTCTACGATCTTATGAACATATTCAAAATTAACGGGCTTCCGAGCAAAGATAATCCTTACGTAAGCAATATTACTTTTAGGATTTGTTTTCTCTAGTTGTTCAATGGTGACTTGTTGATCGGGGATCGTTTTCCGTGGAGTGTATTTTCACCTTGTTCGGGTTTAAGCTTCTCTATCCAGACAAGTTTTATCTTTCCAGAGGTGAGCAGTTGGTATTAAATCAGATATTCTATGCTCTTATAATTTCCGGCTTCATATACTTATGTATATGTTTAATTGTCCCCATAGGTAACCATGAATCCGAACACATGAACAGACTTTATGGCTTTGAAGGTGAGGTAAAGTCAAAATATTCTTCTGAAGTGGCCAATATGTTCACGGATATATTCAACTGGTTACCTCTATGCCATCTGATTAATGAAAGAATTCTGGTAAGCGATTTACATAAGTCATTTTTCCATGTTCAAATGATTGTCTGTGAGTTCTTGCTTATTTGTTCGTTTAATTTGAATGGATGTTTGAATGACCGTTTTAACCACATGGTCGAAAACAGAGTCCAGCAATCAAAAGTATAGCTGAAAATGTAACAAAAAAAAACTTTTCTTCTCTAAACTTATCTCTGTAACATTGTTTTTATCTGCCGAATATTGGTGTATGTTTCTGTAATACGAAGACTGATAGTAGTTTGCGCTTTTAGTTGCTCATGGTAATGAATCATCTTACAAATAAGATTCTGTTTATAATAGTGTTAGAGCTAGATCATGGTATGTGGCTTTGATCAAATATCGCTTTGACACAAAGTTCTTCTAGTTGTAGGAGGATGAGTGTACAGTTTATAGCATAAGATATACGTAGTCCACTGAATCATAATTAAAGCAAATATCAATCGCTCTACGTGTTATACTAACAAAACTAAATAAGCTTATTTTAAAAACATCTTATATGAGTGGTTCTTTTCCTATTTGTTTATCTTATTACTATATTATTTTGTTAAGTGTAACCACAAATTTTATGTTTCAAGGAAGTAGCCATTTGTGGTAATCAATAATTCTGTCTAGGACCAAAATTATTTAGCTGTGCAACTTTTCATATTGGGCTGCAGCGTTACCCATCTGTGAAGTACATTTTTCCGTATTCAGCCTTAAACCACATTATTTGGTTAAAGTTCGGTAATACTACCCAACTAGCTACCCACTCATAGGCAAATGGAGTGAAGTTCGAATCTTTAGCCCGTCGGTTGGAACCCGACCGAAGTTGCTACCTTGACGCGGTGGTCGGGCTTGCCTATCGTGATGACCCAACCGAGCTATATTGGCTGGAACATATGTTCCTGTAGGTTCTACCATGCCAGGCAGGTCGATTGGAGAACGGTAAGACTAAAAGCAGCAACTCAAGGTCTGAGGGCGAAGTCGTACTGCTGACTGTAGAGGGGTGTGACAGCAGTAAGGTGTTTCCCTCGGACAACCAGCATGACAGCGATGCTGCCTTCCCACAAGGAGGGGTGGGGTTAGAAAAGGTCGACCCTAAAAATGTCACACCTCACCTTACCTCACGGATTTCCGTCTCCGGCGGTAAGGCCCTTTGAAGAACGGAGCTAACACGTCAAAAACCTTCCACAAAAAGGCCGTGCGCGACCGGCCTCAAGCAGTTGTCCCTTGGGCTCTGCGGTCACGCTCCCAGGTCGTCAAGACCAACACTAATCCAATTTCCTTTTCAGGTTCCTCAAGAAATACCCTTCCACGGTGTGGGCAGCCGGGAAGTGACATCAGCCCTCATACCCGTAACAGCACAAGAGACCAAGGTGGTCACATTCAAATCCTTCCTACACCTCCTAATACCTCTCTTATCTCCATGACTAACCCTCCTCACGTCTCTTTATCACCTCGCACCGCTAGGGCAAACGATTCGAGTACGTGGAACGCCATTCCTGGTCTCCTGAAACCACGCTCTAAACTACACGTAGGAGCTTTTAACGTACGAACACTTTGCCAAATAGGACAGCAGGCTTCCTTAGCTAAAACTTTAGAATCTCGCGCCATCGATGTGTGCTGCGTCTCCGAAACGCGCATACAGGATCCAAGTAGCGTCATTCATTTGACCTCACCATGCCAAAATAAAGAACCGACTCGATTTACGCTTCGTGTATCTGGAAGCCCTGATTCTGCTTCCCGTGGCCTCGCCGGCGTAGGTATAGCATTGAGTCCTAGGGCAGAACTAGCTCTCTTAGAGTGGATCCCAGTAGACAGTCGTTTGTGCGCTGTCCGACTGAACGGAACAGTAAGAATCCGGAAAGATAGGGACACTCGTCGTTGCCTCTTCGTCGTCTCTGCCTATTCTCCCACTGACTGCAGCTCAGATGATGTAAAAGATGAGTTTTACAGAAAGCTTTCGGACCTTCTCCGAAAAGCTAGGCGCTCGGATGTAGTAATAGTGGCCGGTGACTTTAATGCTCAAGTAGGTAAACTAAGCGATAGGGAAAGACACCTAGGTGGATCTTATGGTGTCGTGGCTCAAAGAACAGATAATGGCGACCGTCTGTTGCAGCTATGCTCAGATAACCGCCTGTTCCTTGCAAATACTAACTTTAAGCATAAGGAAAAACATCTTTTAACATGGCGACCCCCTAATTCGTCCCAACGTTGGACCCAAATAGATCACATCGCTATCAGCCACCGATGGAGGGGCTCGATAGAAGACTGTCGCTCATTCTGGAGCACATGCCTAGATTCAGATCATGCTCTAGTGCGAGCGCGTATTTGCTTGCGTCTTACTGGACGTAGGAAAGACGCTGCAAGGAAACCTCTTAGGGCCTACTTAATGATAGTCAAGCTAAGAGTATATTTCAGGAACAACTAGGAAAACAGTTAGGCAGCCATGTATGTGATGCCCACCCCGATGCAGCATGGAATGATATCCGAAAAGCTGTGGAAACAGCAGTGATATCTGCTAGTAAGGTAAACCAGAAGGTTAGGGAGCAACACTGGATCTCAGCAGCATCTATCGCACTGATAGATGCTCGGAAACTCATTCCACCTGGCTCTGAACATAATGAAGAGCGGAGTCAGCTTAAGCGCAAGCTGACAAGAAGTCTACGCAATGATCGCGAACAGTGGTGGGTAGCGAAAGCAAGAGAGATGGAAAAGGCAGCGGCAATAGGTAATAGCAGACAATTGTTCAGACTTGTTAAGGAAACCGACTGTTAGCGAAACAATCTCAGAGAAAGATGGACATATTATTCATTCTCAATCCAGGAGATTGGATCGATGGGCAGAACACTTTAGGGATCAGTTCAACTGGCCTTCAGCCACACTTCGGTTTCCCACGATCTCCAGTCAACCTGAATGGCAAGTTAATGTAGGTCCTCCGTCTCTTTACGAAGTTGAAAAAGCCATAGGAAATCTGAAACGAGGGAGAGCAGCAGGCCCTGACAGGTTTACTCCTGAGATTTTTAAGGATGGTGGTCCAGTATTAGCAATGAGATTAACTGAGGTCTTAGGTAGAATTTGGGAACTGGACGTAATCCCATCTGACTGGTCTCAATCACTGATTGTGCCAGTCTATAAGAAAGGACAAAAGTCCTCTTGTGACAATCACAGAGGAATCAGTTTGACTAATATAGTGTCTAAAATATTAGCTTCAATAATACTTCGACGCCTAACAAAGCTCGTGAAGAGCAGACTAGAGAAAACCAGGCTGGTTTTCGACCTGGACGTGGTTGTATAGATCAGATATTCACACTACGTCAGGTTCTAGAACACAGACACACATTCAGACGCCCCACAATGGTAGTATTTCTCGACCTTAAGGCGGCATTCGACTCTGTTGATCGTGAGGTTCTATGGCAGTGTTTGTCACTGAAAGGAGTACCAAAGAAGTACATTAACCTTATAAAGGCTCTCTACTCGAACACAACTGGTAGAGTGAGAGCTTATGGCGAACTGTCATCAGAATTGATTACCTCAAGTGGTGTTCGTCAGGGCTGTCCACTCTCCCATTCTTGTTCAACTTTGTGGTCGACGTACTTTTAGAGATAACACTCTCCTCATCTAAATTTCCAGGGGTTGAACTTCTACCGGGAGGTTCACTTGTTGACTTAGAATATGCTGATGACATAGTTTTATTTGGTGAAGACGCTGACAAAATGCAGAGTCTTCTGACCACTCTAAGCAACAATGCAAGCATGTTCGGGATGCGATTCTCCCCTCGAAATGCAAAATGTTGCTTCAGGATTGGGTTACATCGACACCCGAACTAGTGATAGGGAGTGAAGTAGTTGAGTGTGTCGACCGCTTCACTTATCTTGGAAGTCTCATCAGCCCTTGTGGTCTGGTGTGTGACGAAATCTCAGCACGGATACAGAAGGCTCGACTAGCTTTTGCCAACTTGCGTCATTTATGGCGTAGGCGAGATATCCGTCTATCAACCAAAGGACGGTTTACTGCGCAGCAGTTCGTTCCGTCCTACTTTATGGCAGTGAAACATGGCCGGTAAGAGTAGAGGATATCCGTAGGTTACTAGTATTTGATCATAGGTGTCTTCGAAATATTGCTCGTATATCTGGGACCATCGAGTAAGTAACGCAGTTGTTAGGAAACGGGTACTAGGTAAGTATTATACTCTTTAAATAACATCTCCAAACACTAATTTTCCCGATTACTGCTTATACTCTTATTACCTCTACCACTACTTGATTTAAATCGACCACTACATCTGTGTGCTAATGTGGTATGGCAACTCGAACTGATGTACGTACGTACAAAGTTCTACGTTGTTACTGACTGACTAACCGTCGGTTGGAAACTAACCTCTTTAATTACTAAGCTTTACCGGACTACCTAATTTTGTTTTTAGTTTTCTTCAAAACCAAATGTTTGATGCTTATACTTTTATTGGTTGATGTTTAGCCAATCTATCACCCCAAGTTTATTACACAAATGGTATTTTCTGATAGATCGCGATTATCTGTTAGTTTTGTGATTTTCCATGTTCTTACTGCCTATTTATTTCTAGCTGTAAAAATTAATGAGAGAAGTTTATCTCACAATATTCTTTTTTACTTTATTTACAATGTTAAAACATTCAATTAGGTTATGCATGGTGGATTGTTCGAACGCGATAATGTTACATTAGATGAAATAAAAAAGGTGTCTCGAAATCGTCAACCTGACGAAGGCACTATAATGTGTGAATTGCTATGGTCTGACCCAATGGAGACTGAAGGTCGAGCCCATTCTAAACGTGGAGTCGGTTGTCAATTTGGTCCTGATGTCACTGAAAAGTTCTGTAAGCAAAATGGTCTAGACTATATTATTAGAAGTCATGAAGTAAGTGCATTGATCATCAAGTGTTCTGTTTTCAAAATACCCTAAAGTTGCTTGATTTACTCTAAAATTAAAAGTCCAGTCTCTTCTCTCTCTAGATCCCAGCGTAATCGTTCATTTGATAAATATAGCAATCCAACATAGTTTAATCTTCGTGTATCTAGAAATCCCCATTGTTTATTGGTGTAGGAGTAGTTTGCAGAAAAGCTAGGGGCTGCCATACTATATCAGTCCTTGAGGCCATTAACTGTGAGTTTGCGCTATGTTAGTAGATGCCGACTACCTGATTAGGCTCTGTGTGATAACTGCAATCAGTGGTGCAGTTGCACTCAATTTTTGAATTCCAGTTTCCGTTCATATGTACTTCTCCATTCTGTCTCTCCGATCCCTATTCTCAGTGATGAGTCATTTTCCTTGTCATTGCTACTACTTTACTATGGTCTCCTCTGCTATGCATCTTGTTAATTTCAACTCGTCTTACTAATGCTGTATGACAAATTAGGTCAAAATATATCTGTGCCAGACTGTACATTGATGATAACTGACTGGATGATCTTCAACAGCAAACTCGTGATCTTGTTGGTGGTGTAGGACTAACTTTGAAAATTGGAATAGACAGTTGTCGTTTCGTATTTCAGTAGACGATGAGGGTAGTATATCTTGAGAGGAGCAGTCTAGTTAAGAAAATACAGCCAAGAAGAGTTCTTTCAGTTGAAGATATTCCTATAATATTTCTTATAAAAAGGTAAAAGAGAACTACATATGGACTGTCACATGTTTCTATTCTGAGCCATTTTTGATAATGTTTCAACCCACTACTTTGTCTCACCGTCAAGAATGGTTGCTGACACAAGTGTCAACTAGTCTTGCAAAAGTCCTTTACATGAGGACTTTGCAAGTACATGCTATACTGATGGATAATAGTTGTCAGCTCATTACTTATGAACTGCATATCTTGATTATCATCCCACAGTCAAGTAAATCATCCGCATACTGAGGGTCAGAAAGCCTTTTTCCATGTGATAAATTGACACCACTACTATTTACTTGCATCAGGGATGTTCCCAGTATATCATCGATGGTACAGTTAAAGAGGAATAATGAAACTGGGAAACCGTGACCGTGGACCAGGCACATATATGCAATGGTTCAAGTTGCCACACCTCATTAATACATCAAGATGAACACCAAATTCATAGAAGTAGTTACTTCAATGGTAGTAATATATAAAAGAAAGATTGTGTATAAGGGTATAATACAGGAAGGAAGAATTAGTTCGTAGAAAGGTCTAAAGTAATTTTAAACTCATCGTTTATGAGAAGACAAAAAGTGTATACACCTACTTCATTGTGATCGGTTCTGAACCATGTCACCCAGAGTCTCTAGCCACTGGTTACGACAGTCGCGCGGACCCCAACCAAGTAGTCAGCATCTACACCAACATGGCTTAGACCACAATTTAATGACTTTATGGACTGATGCCATGTTTTGGTTTGGTCGCTCCCAACTTTCTTCCATTCGTCTTCAACACTAGTCAGCATTGCGCGTCATGGTAATCGGTGGTTGGGTATGCGTAATACGTGATCCAACCATCTCAGTCAATCAAGACTCACAACCTCATCAACTGATTTACCATCATTCCGTAATACCCTGCGTCTAACCTCACTATTACTTACCCAGTGATCCCAGCAGATGCTGGCAATATTTCTGAGACATTTGTGATCAAATACTAGCAACTTACAAGTATCCTCTACCCTTAATGGCCACGTTTCGCAGCTGTAAGGTAAAATAGAGAGAACGTCTGCGCAGTATATATAGATTGATAGACGGATATCTCGCTCTCGACATAGGTGACGTAAGTTAGCAAAAGCCAAACGAGCCTTTTGAATCCGTACAAGAGATTTTGTCAGACACCAATCCATTAGGGCTGATCGAACTTCCAAGATTAATGAAGTTGTCGATGCGGTCGACTACTTCATTCCCTATCTTTAGTTCAGGTGTTGACACAGACCAGTCCTGAAGCAACAACTTTCATCTAGAGGGAGAGGAACACATTCCAAACTTCATGGCATTGTTGCTCAATGCTACTAAAACACTGCATTTTATCAGCGTCTTCATCAAACAGAACTATGTCATCTGTGTGGACCTCCTGGAAGGAGATCAATTCCTGAAAATTCAGTCGACGTAAACGTTATTTCTAACGGTAGGTCTATGACGAAAGTGAGCAAAAATGGAGATAGTGGACGACCTTGTCATACATCACTTAAGGTTGCAAGATCAGATGACAGTTCTCTATAAGCTCTAACTCGACCGGTAGTGTTTCAGTAAAGAGCCTTCACATGGATTATATACTTTTGAGGTACACCTTTCAATGATAGACACCATTACTGGAGGCATTCGTGCGCGAGACCGAAAGTCCCGGTTTCGAACCCCGTGTGATAGCCCAAGTGCCCTGGTACGGTCAAAGGTGTGGAGAGTATGGTCTCACATGGCCGTGTGTATACAGCCACTGTCATAGAGATCCTACTCACTGCTTTCTCGCTATGGGGGTGTTGTTTACGAAATTGAGACCATGTAAAGCGAATGTCCGGCGCTTCAACAGGATCGGTGGGTATGAAAGATCTACATAGAGGAGTTGTAAAACCCTGATTCCAAACTAATGGTGCACATTGGCTCCAGGATCCTGAAGGAACAAAAGGCGTGTGAACCTACTCTTGGTCACCGGCCACTATGGGACTGTATCTCCTTACGTTGCTCCACTGCCTTGTGGATCATACCTTTAGGTCGAATGCTCCGGGTGTGACTCCTCAAGAAGACCACCTGCTTCGGTTTGAGCACCCGGGCAGTATCACAGCCCACACGCAAATCAAGTGACTTGTGTGGCGCATATGTATTTGGTGCCCCTTTGTACCAATATTTGTGTTCAAATAAATAAATAAAATTACTGAAATAATAGGAGGAGGCGGTTTTATGATCACACTCTCCCTGAGTTTTTTGTATTCAGAGCTTTCAATGTATCAATAAACTTCTCACACACACCTTCCTTCAACAAATAATCCCATAGTTTACAATTCTGTTCTGCGGATTGAAGTTGGTCCGGATATCAATAAACACAATTATCATTGGCCTCCAGTAGGTGCGGCGGTGTTCTGAAATTTGGTGGTGGGTAAAGATATAATCAACACACCGATGATCATAACAAAGGCTGACCTACTAATCGCGAGACAGTATTTCACGGATTTTGAAAAATCAGTCAAGTATGACAAAAACCAATAGTTTGGATGCAGTATGAAGTAGACTTGTCCCTCGATAGTTGTTACTTGAATGTCGGTCCATTTTAAAAATAAAAGGGGCTGTCGCTTCATTCAAGGATGTTGGGACACTCACTACCTGACTTTTCCTAACATATTCGATCGATAGATTTCTTTGAGGGATAGTTCAGCTGGTGTGCTGCCCTAACAAAGATCCTTTAGGACCTTCCATTAGGGAAGTCAGTCACCAACCATGGGGGACAGAACAATCTAATCGATGTTGTTGGCAAGCAATATCCGTAAGTATGATATGCATTTGGCAAGTACTAAATGTAAAGGACCTTTGCTAGACTTGTAGCAGGCTGCGCCCGCGCTCACTATTGGTATATTGCCGTTAGAAGTGGTCGAAAAGTTTTTGTATCCGGGTGGCTGTATGAGCGATGATGGTGCTGTGATTAATAAGAGTAATTTAAGTATATTGGAAGCCAAAGTGGATCATATCAATCTTGGCTACCTTTGGTGCCGTCGTGAGGCTAGTTTGGCTGTTAAATGTCAAGCTTGTTTTAATTTTGACTGTCGAGCTGGCTTCAATTTCTTCAGTCGATCTTGAGTTATTAACCTAGGAGTCGTCCATGTTTAAACGTTGGACATGATTTAGCTTCCTAAAACTGCAGACATTGTTACGAAATCCGGATTTTCGTCAGAAATGTTTACATGCTATATTTTTAGGTGTAATTTTGAGGTTCATGTCGCTAGATAGCTAGATTTTAGCAGGGAATTTACCGCATAGATTTCCAATTGGGTATTATGCGAAATCAATCATGATAATTGTGTACGATATCTGAAAGTTATGAAATAAAGCAACCATCATTTTGGTGTAGGCTTTACATTGGTTTGTGTTGTCTGTTTTGTCCATTTGTAAGAATCGATTAGCAATTTCCTAATAATCTTATTTTTATACAATATGTTCGATAATATTTAAAAGTAATGATATTTATTTACACCGCATGCCTTTCTTTCAAACTGGTTGGTCCTGCCAGTTATATTCATCTAACAGTTAGTGGAAATAGTTGCTGTTTTCGATGGTATTAATGTGTACAGTACTTGATTTATATTATGTTATGATTTCAGTTTAAACCTTATTACGTTCATAAACCGAGATCTTCATTCTGTGTTCTGAGTCATCCAAGAAATTTTTGTATTGTTTTTTAAGGTGAAAGATGAAGGTTACGAAGTTGCTCACAACGGTCGCTGTATTACTGTTTTCTCAGCTCCTAATTACTGTGACACAATGCATAATCGAGGAGCTTTTATTACATTGATAGGTAGTAATAAACCCGGTGAAATGTCTCCAATGTTTACCAGCTTTACAGCAGTAGCTCATCCAGATGTGCGCCCAATGGCTTACGTAAATCCATTACTTTCCATGTTTATGTGATTTGTACATTGCTTTTTCTTATTTTGTGCCTTAAAATGGTTACTGAACATTGATAGATGCATATTTAAATAAACACACATATATACAGTTAACTTGATCAATGTATCAACTGTTCATTGTACACATTATATTGTCAAAATTCTCATGTAACATTTTCTTACTCATTTTTGATGGGCTTAGTTTTAAGTCAAGGATTCTCATGTCTGCATTTTTAATTCCATTGTAATAAAGTTACTTTGGGAAAATGTAAAAAATTTAATCACATTCTTATTACTATTAATATGATTATTTGTTATTGCTACTACTACTACTAACACTGATACCATTGTTTGAATTTGTGACGGCTATTTTTCCATTTAGTCAGACTACCAGTTCTCATTCATTTTAGGGTTAATTTTGCAAGTATATTAGAAGAAATCATTAAGCTTCATTTATTTTATCGTCTTACTGTATCGTGTTTGAATAAAAATTGTGGGAAATTATTACTATTAAATCTATATATATCTAGCATTGTTCCAGTCTATTTTTTTTTCAACCTAATCGTCTTGGATAAATTAAAATGAGGAGTTTAGAAGGTAATTAATTTTTGTATTACCTTGCTTAGTAATGAGGATATTTTGTATATTGAAGCATTTTAATCTGAAAATAATAGTGTTCACATCGTACATCATAATAGTTCTTGGATATTACATTTAAGAAAGTGTATTGCTGTACCGAATAAGGTTCACAACTTAAGGGGTTTATAATCAAGCAGTCAATACTCATTGTTCCTGCATGAACCAACTGAATACGAGGGCTAGTAAAAAGGCCGTTTATAGGATATGTTCCACGTGATTCGTTTCCAATTGTGTATATGTCTTTCATTCTTGTATGCACAATATAGCGTTTTGTGGCAGTCATTCACCTAAGCTGAGTTCACGCACGAATAATTTACTCATAGTATTAACCATCTAATGTAACGCAATCATAATGCTTGTTTATTGTTTGTTCTCAAAAATTTAAACAACGAGGTTTGCGAGATAAAATGAATCCATTCTATTTCACGGTTTCTCATCAGTTGCATACAACCTAAAATTACAATTACTAATATAAATATAATTATTAATAAATGTTTAGCATACTTTAGTTTGTGATTTTTAGATAAATTTTCGCAATGTATCCGAACTCATAAGAAGAAGAATAGGTACACAAAGTGTATGAATAAACATAGTTGGTGTCGGAGTCGTAGTTAAAAAAATTAACAAACGTTATCGGACACATGTCGGATCACCATGGCAGAGAAAGGCTTCTAGGTTACTCAGTTACCTCAACAACTATCATCCCAACATAACGTTTACGATGGAATATAAAAGAGAACCAACACAATTTTTAAGTGTAGGACGGAAAAATGATGGAAGTTTTAAGGAAAGTATATATAGAAAAAAACCATGGATAGGACAGTATTTGACAGTTTTGGCACTATCAGTTGCAAAAATTTTCTAGTAAAAACGCTCTTCAATACAGCTAAGATGTTATGCTTAAACGGAAAAATAAATGAGGAATTGGCTATTCTAGAAAAGCATCTTATAAAAAATGGATACCCGAGGAAATTTAGTATGAACTACGGAAAAGAATATTCCGAGGATGATTAACAACCATCTATCGTGAATAAACCTGTCTTCATCAGCCTTCTGTTCAAGGAAGGTGATATTTCAGGAAGAATCCACTGGAGATTGAAGGCGTCACCGAAAAGATACTTCCCTGCTGCTCAACTGTTTCACCATACAACACCAATTGTTCGTTTTACCATTCAAAGATAGATCCATACTCTCGCGATGTCACTCCCAATTGTACCTGCTGCTGCAGGTACATAGGAAGGACAAAGGGGACTTCTACAAAATTTTCTTAACACACCCCTTGTAACTTATAGCTAAGAGGAATTGAAGTGTTTACAAGTGCAGTTGCCAGACATCTCGATAGTGGATATGAATAGAATGTAAGTGATGCATCCAAACATTATTGTTCTTGCTCTGTTTAAAAGTATTATATATTTTATTTACTCTTAATAGGGCGGTAAGTTGTTCGAATTCCTGATTGAAGGTTTATTCGAAATATTTTCAGCACAAATATTATTTTGACCATGCATTGATATCAACTGAAGAAATGATAAATCAGCGTTTACTTAATTGTTGGAAGTGCCTATGTTTCATGGAGTCAATTGACTGCAGTGCGTCGAAGAACGGATGGTCGATCAGTTGGGCAATCGTATGTATGGAAGTGAATTTATTATAAGCTATGTCCAGTCATCGAAGTTATAAACCTTTTACTTTGTAATTGGTAGGTATGTGTTCAGACTTGTAGGTGGTGATTAGACTGGTTGTATTTGAATTTCGTAAAACGAGGTGTGGGGTTGTTTGGAGATGCGTATATGTAGCTGAAGTAGAAGTGGCATTCGTGTACGCAACAACTGGAAGGGGTAAGATGGCACATGTGTATAGATGAGGATGTTTGTAAGCTAGCATATTGGGCTGGCATTTTTATGCTGATTTCAATTCAGTCAACTAGTGCAAGATGTGAATGGTGCAGTCTCATGTCTCATTGACGCAACTAGGTGAGTTTCCAGTGAGTCAACGAAGCTTCCTGTGGGCAAGGCCAGACTTTCAGGATGAGATGAATTCGTGTTTTTAATTGAGCGCTTCCTGTGAACTAGAATCAGCCTGGAATTACAACATTTAGTATTAGAGAATTCCACGTCGTGGATTATTTGCCGACTCTGGGACTGGTTGGAAAAAGCGGAGAGGTGGTCAGTGTATGACATGGTGTCGTGGTATGAAAGAAAGCTGCAAAGGGCTGGCTTGTGTTAGTCCTTCACGACTCCCTGGTTGGGGTCCGAGAGATGGTGCAACACAGTGGCTAGAGACGTTATCAGATATGGCTCAGAATAGAAGCCAGTGGCGATCCTGCTGTAACCTTCTTTTACTTTCTTTGTAAAAAGTGGTTGTATCTTCCTAAACTGAAAGATTTCTTCTGATTGTACCTTTCCGTTCCCCCATTATCACTATTACTATTATTATTGTTATTATTACTATACTACCTTACACCAATCTCTTCGTTATTATTCTCTTGTTTTTTACGCTCCCTACCGTTTTTCCCTTCTCTTTAAACTCTCAATGTTTTGTGTGGCGAATATATATTTGGCGCACTCTTGTACCAATATTATGTGTTCAAATAAATAAATAAGCCACCAAACCATTGTTGTTTGATCAATTCAGAGAGAATGGTGTGAAACAGTGTTTTGGAAACATTGCTAATTTCGTTGTGGTGGTGTAGAGAAAGAGAGTAGTGAGTGGGAGTTGAAGTATATTGATAAAAGTGACTAGGGTACGGGATTATTAGTGGATGAGAAGAAGTGGTAGGGTGAAGTTGGTTGACTGTGTCCTGTAGGCCTTATAGTTCTGGCTTTATTCAAAGTCATCATGATAGTTAAATGTGTGCGCTTCGTCAGCTCTCGAACCTAGGATTTTCTAAGTCGTGTTGCGCCTAGCCTAGGAGTTCAGCAAAGATTTACAACTGAGAATTATGTGACTTCAGTTTTAGAATTGCGAGTGAGCATATCAAGGCGTATACTAAGTAATTGGGAAATTGTGTGAATCAGTGAAAAATGCGAGCACAACCTGACACCAGTGAACTTGTGAGTGTCCTTTGTAGAATAATTTTGAACCTCACTATCTGTCCTAGTTAGCTAATGAATGAGTGGCACGATCGAAGCATTGTCTCAAGCTACTTATATACTTCATGATAGTTTAAACCTGAAAGTTTTCATAATATTTCCTAAAGTGTGTCATTCATTTTCGTTGTTTTCCTTGACTTGTTGCATGGGATAAAATATTTATATTGGAGTGGGTTTTCATCGTGATTTGATCTGATGTTAGTGACCGAATTGTACCATGTTAGTTGGTCGGAGGTAATCGACAAGAAGCTGTAGACCCAGGTTTCGTGCTCACTGGCACTCGTCAGTAAGGTGTGCCTGGAATCTTGAGAGAAATGGACGTCCTGTGTGGACTTCGAACCCACGTCAATCAGTGTCGTAGTCAGAGGTGCTAGCATGGAGCAATTCGGGCTTCTACCGACTGTTATGTCTGACTCAAGCATATGATTAAGCACACCGATTACTTTTGTTCATTGCAACATTTTTATCCTTACGATGCCAGTAGAGTTTCTCCTCCTGACATTCTATTAATTAATCAGTTGTGAGGAGACTGAGTTGTGGTTTATTGGAATTCTATCTGTTGATTATCACAAAGTGAGTCGACCTGAAAATAAATGTATTGACATGTTGTGTTAATCCAGTTGTTAATAGTAATGATAATAATAATAATGATTATTATTATTATTACTATTATTGTTATTATTATTCAATATTATATTTTGGTACAACATAGGATTCCCAGCACGAGGTTTGGTTATGAAACAATTCTTCATCTGTCGATCAGTCTTTTGACTTCTAACATGAGTCTTTCTAGTCACTTCGACAATCAACGATAATTCAGTCAACCATAACGGTCATGTCACCGACCTCCTGTAGGACTGAGACATTTACACTGGTTCATCACAGAGTGGTAACCGATCCCATGTTTGTCTAATTCTGAATGATGATCGAATTCCATCGAACACTCGAACAAGTAGCCACATTGCAACTGTTCAGATGGAATTGGATCAGCATTAAGAAGTAGGCAAACATGACATAATGATGTACAGCCGGGCATAGTTACAGCTCGGTGACTAACCAGTATGAACTGAACTATACCTGATCCCTAAATATCACACGTGTTAGTTCAACTACTTATAATTGTGTCAGTAGTCAAACTCGATATTGGAATGTTTTTTGTGTTTGAGGTTGTGAATGGGTGAATGGGATGGGTGCACGTCTTAGATTTTGTCCATTTGTCCACACTGACCAGACAATTGCGTTTGTATTAGGCACCCTGCATTGCATTGTACTTAGGGAGGCTATGAGTGAAATTTTGACTAGGAAAGCATCTTGTTTGTGAGTATTTGGTCAGTAGTCTGGTGGTTGAGTGTGATTGGCCAATAGTGAATACTTGTCGACAGGTCATTGGTCGATTGTTTTCTATCGAAGGTCATCGAAACTTCTAGTATGTTCTACGTGTAAAGTATTTAAGCAGGTGCACAGCTTGCAGTGGTATTAATTGAGTGATTCGATTACCTGTGTTTGTTCGTTTTGACGTATCTCGAAATGCCTAACGCCATTGGGATCGATCTTGGTACAACATATTCGTGTGTTGGTGTTTTCCAGCATGGCAAAGTGGAGATAATTGCCAATGATCAGGGTAACAGAACGACACCGAGTTATGTGGCGTTCACAGATGCTGAGCGTTTAATTGGTGATGGAGCGAAGAACCAAGTGGCTATTAATCCAACAAATACAGTGTTTGATGCGAAGCGGCTAATCGGTCGTCGTTTCGATGATCCATCAGTTCAGAGTGATATGAAGCATTGGCCATTTGAGGTGGTTCAAGTCGGTGGTAAGCTGAAGATTCGTGTTGAGTATAAGGGTGAGAAAAAGTTGTTCTCCGCGGAGGAGATTTCGTCGATGGTGTTGACGAAAATGAAGGAGGTTGCTGAAAGTTATTTGGGCAGGACAGTAAGTGACGCGGTTATAACAGTTCCTGCTTACTTCAATGACAGTCAACGTCAAGCAACGAAAGATGCAGGTGCTATAGCTGGTCTTAATGTGTTGAGAATCATTAATGAGCCGACAGCTGCGGCAATTGCCTATGGTTTAGACAAGAAGGTTGGTGGTGAGCGTAATGTGTTGATATTTGATTTGGGTGGTGGTACATTTGATGTGTCCATCTTGACAATTGAGGATGGTATATTCGAGGTGAAGTCTACTGCTGGTGATACACACTTGGGAGGTGAAGATTTTGACAATCGTCTGGTGGATCACTTTGTGAAAGAGTTCCAGAAGAAATTTAGTAAAGACATTCGTGACAATAAGCGTGCATTGCGTCGCCTGAGAACAGCATGTGAACGTGCGAAACGTACATTGAGTTCGAGCACCCAAACGAATCTGGAGATTGACTCGTTGTGTGATGGTATTGATTTTTACACGTCGATTACTCGTGCACGATTTGAGGAGTTGAATGCCGATCTATTCCGTGGTACATTGGGTCCTGTTGAGAAGGCTTTGCGAGATGCTAAGATGGATAAGGCCCAGATTCACGAAATAGTGTTGGTTGGTGGTTCCACTCGTATCCCTAAGGTGCAGAAGCTGTTGCAGGACTTCTTCAACGGGAAGGAGTTGAATAAATCTATTAATCCGGATGAAGCTGTGGCTTATGGTGCAGCTGTGCAGGCAGCTATTCTAAGTGGTGACAAGTGTGAGGCTGTGCAGGACTTGCTGTTGCTTGACGTGGCTCCATTGTCACTGGGTCTTGAAACGGCTGGTGGTGTAATGACGGCTCTGATTAAGCGTAATACGACAATTCCGACGAAGCAGACTCAAACGTTCACGACGTACTCGGACAACCAGCCTGGTGTGCTTATCCAGGTGTTTGAGGGTGAGCGTGCTCTGACGAAGGACAACAATCTGCTTGGCAAGTTCGAACTCTCAGGTATCCCACCTGCTCCTCGTGGTACTCCCCAGATTGAGGTGACGTTTGATATAGACGCGAACGGTATTCTGAACGTATCTGCTGTTGACAAGGGTACAGGGAAGCAGAACAAGATAACGATTACAAATGACAAGGGTCGTTTGACGAAGGAGGAGATTGAACGAATGGTAGCCGATGCGGACAAGTACAAGGCTGAGGATGAGAAGCAGAGAGATCGTGTTTCTGCGAAGAACTCGCTTGAGAGTTATGTGTACACAATGAAACAGCAAGTGGAGGGTGAGCTTAAAGAAAAGATATCTGAAAGTGATCGTCAAGTGATATTAAGTAAGTGTGAGGATACAATTGGTTGGTTGGACGTTAATCAATTGGCGGAGAAGCATGAGTATGAAAGTAAGCGGGAGGAGTTGGAGAAGGTCTGTGCGCCGATAATTACGAAGGTGTACCAGGCTGGTGGTATGCCAGGAGGCATGCATGAAACAGGTGGTGCTGGTGGTGGAAGTGGTAAGGGACCAACGATTGAGGAGGTCGACTAACCTGTAATTGTTGTGATTAATTATTTGGTACTTGAATGAATTTAGATTTTATCTGTAATGAATTTTGTCTTTTGATTTTTATTAGTTATTGGTTGTTTGATACAGGGTCAGGGTTTCGTTACTGGCGAGTAGTGAATATCGTTGTCTAATGTCTGGTCGCTCAGTGTAGGATAGTGATCGCTCTCTATCTCTTCCTGCCCTCTATGTTACGGAAGGCTTGTTAAGTTGAGTGTTGCGAATCCGTATGTGTGCAACGTGGCGTTTGCACCTCAGGACTATTGGTTGCGATTTAGGTGGCATGTCGTCTGTTCCTAGTTTATTAGACCGGCGTAGTTGTGGAGCGTTGTTGCGTACGCGTCGAGAAGACCGAGTGAGTGGTTTGTGTGACTAGATGTTCCGATGGGGATTTTGGTGTAGTTGGTGAGTGGAGTGATAAAGTTATTTTCGTCGAGTGTTGTTGAAGACAGGCGACTCGTACTTTTGGTCTGTAAGTGCATTTGCTCGAGAACTTGACTAACGGCCCAGTTAAGTGAGATGATTTCTTGTGAGATGGTAAGTGTTTAGTTGATTAGTATGAACGGTCTCCAATTACTAGTTAGTTATTTACTGCCTTGCTCAACAACAGACGAGTTGTAAAATAAGTAGGGATAACAACGCACGTGTTTCGCATAGTATTCTACATTGGGATATGTAGGTTGGTGAAATGTAATCAGCGTTTACTTAATTGTTGGAAGTGCCTATGTTTCATGGAGTCAATTGACTGCAGTGCGTCGAAGAACGGATGGTCGATCAGTTGGGCAATCGTATGTATGGAAGTGAATTTATTATAAGCTATGTCCAGTCATCGAAGTTATAAACCTTTTACTTTGTAATTGGTAGGTATGTGTTCAGACTTGTAGGTGGTGATTAGACTGGTTGTATTTGAATTTCGTAAAACGAGGTGTGGGGTTGTTTGGAGATGCGTATATGTAGCTGAAGTAGAAGTGGCATTCGTGTACGCAACAACTGGAAGGGGTAAGATGGCACATGTGTATAGATGAGGATGTTTGTAAGCTAGCATATTGGGCTGGCATTTTTATGCTGATTTCAATTCAGTCAACTAGTGCAAGATGTGAATGGTGCAGTCTCATGTCTCATTGACGCAACTAGGTGAGTTTCCAGTGAGTCAACGAAGCTTCCTGTGGGCAAGGCCAGACTTTCAGGATGAGATGAATTCGTGTTTTTAATTGAGCGCTTCCTGTGAACTAGAATCAGCCTGGAATTACAACATTTAGTATTAGAGAATTCCACGTCGTGGATTATTTGCCGACTCTGGGACTGGTTGGAAAAAGCGGAGAGGTGGTCAGTGTATGACATGGTGTCGTGGTATGAAAGAAAGCTGCAAAGGGCTGGCTTGTGTTAGTCCTTCACGACTCCCTGGTTGGGGTCCGAGAGATGGTGCAACACAGTGGCTAGAGACGTTATCAGATATGGCTCAGAATAGAAGCCAGTGGCGATCCTGCTGTAACCTTCTTTTACTTTCTTTGTAAAAAGTGGTTGTATCTTCCTAAACTGAAAGATTTCTTCTGATTGTACCTTTCCGTTCCCCCATTATCACTATTACTATTATTATTGTTATTATTACTATACTACCTTACACCAATCTCTTCGTTATTATTCTCTTGTTTTTTACGCTCCCTACCGTTTTTCCCTTCTCTTTAAACTCTCAATGTTTTGTGTGGCGAATATATATTTGGCGCACTCTTGTACCAATATTATGTGTTCAAATAAATAAATAAGCCACCAAACCATTGTTGTTTGATCAATTCAGAGAGAATGGTGTGAAACAGTGTTTTGGAAACATTGCTAATTTCGTTGTGGTGGTGTAGAGAAAGAGAGTAGTGAGTGGGAGTTGAAGTATATTGATAAAAGTGACTAGGGTACGGGATTATTAGTGGATGAGAAGAAGTGGTAGGGTGAAGTTGGTTGACTGTGTCCTGTAGGCCTTATAGTTCTGGCTTTATTCAAAGTCATCATGATAGTTAAATGTGTGCGCTTCGTCAGCTCTCGAACCTAGGATTTTCTAAGTCGTGTTGCGCCTAGCCTAGGAGTTCAGCAAAGATTTACAACTGAGAATTATGTGACTTCAGTTTTAGAATTGCGAGTGAGCATATCAAGGCGTATACTAAGTAATTGGGAAATTGTGTGAATCAGTGAAAAATGCGAGCACAACCTGACACCAGTGAACTTGTGAGTGTCCTTTGTAGAATAATTTTGAACCTCACTATCTGTCCTAGTTAGCTAATGAATGAGTGGCACGATCGAAGCATTGTCTCAAGCTACTTATATACTTCATGATAGTTTAAACCTGAAAGTTTTCATAATATTTCCTAAAGTGTGTCATTCATTTTCGTTGTTTTCCTTGACTTGTTGCATGGGATAAAATATTTATATTGGAGTGGGTTTTCATCGTGATTTGATCTGATGTTAGTGACCGAATTGTACCATGTTAGTTGGTCGGAGGTAATCGACAAGAAGCTGTAGACCCAGGTTTCGTGCTCACTGGCACTCGTCAGTAAGGTGTGCCTGGAATCTTGAGAGAAATGGACGTCCTGTGTGGACTTCGAACCCACGTCAATCAGTGTCGTAGTCAGAGGTGCTAGCATGGAGCAATTCGGGCTTCTACCGACTGTTATGTCTGACTCAAGCATATGATTAAGCACACCGATTACTTTTGTTCATTGCAACATTTTTATCCTTACGATGCCAGTAGAGTTTCTCCTCCTGACATTCTATTAATTAATCAGTTGTGAGGAGACTGAGTTGTGGTTTATTGGAATTCTATCTGTTGATTATCACAAAGTGAGTCGACCTGAAAATAAATGTATTGACATGTTGTGTTAATCCAGTTGTTAATAGTAATGATAATAATAATAATGATTATTATTATTATTACTATTATTGTTATTATTATTCAATATTATATTTTGGTACAACATAGGATTCCCAGCACGAGGTTTGGTTATGAAACAATTCTTCATCTGTCGATCAGTCTTTTGACTTCTAACATGAGTCTTTCTAGTCACTTCGACAATCAACGATAATTCAGTCAACCATAACGGTCATGTCACCGACCTCCTGTAGGACTGAGACATTTACACTGGTTCATCACAGAGTGGTAACCGATCCCATGTTTGTCTAATTCTGAATGATGATCGAATTCCATCGAACACTCGAACAAGTAGCCACATTGCAACTGTTCAGATGGAATTGGATCAGCATTAAGAAGTAGGCAAACATGACATAATGATGTACAGCCGGGCATAGTTACAGCTCGGTGACTAACCAGTATGAACTGAACTATACCTGATCCCTAAATATCACACGTGTTAGTTCAACTACTTATAATTGTGTCAGTAGTCAAACTCGATATTGGAATGTTTTTTGTGTTTGAGGTTGTGAATGGGTGAATGGGATGGGTGCACGTCTTAGATTTTGTCCATTTGTCCACACTGACCAGACAATTGCGTTTGTATTAGGCACCCTGCATTGCATTGTACTTAGGGAGGCTATGAGTGAAATTTTGACTAGGAAAGCATCTTGTTTGTGAGTATTTGGTCAGTAGTCTGGTGGTTGAGTGTGATTGGCCAGTAGTGAATACTTGTCGACAGGTCATTGGTCGATTGTTTTCTATCGAAGGTCATCGAAACTTCTAGTATGTTCTACGTGTAAAGTATTTAAGCAGGTGCACAGCTTGCAGTGGTATTAATTGAGTGATTCGATTACCTGTGTTTGTTCGTTTTGACGTATCTCGAAATGCCTAACGCCATTGGGATCGATCTTGGTACAACATATTCGTGTGTTGGTGTTTTCCAGCATGGCAAAGTGGAGATAATTGCCAATGATCAGGGTAACAGAACGACACCGAGTTATGTGGCGTTCACAGATGCTGAGCGTTTAATTGGTGATGGAGCGAAGAACCAAGTGGCTATTAATCCAACAAATACAGTGTTTGATGCGAAGCGGCTAATCGGTCGTCGTTTCGATGATCCATCAGTTCAGAGTGATATGAAGCATTGGCCATTTGAGGTGGTTCAAGTCGGTGGTAAGCTGAAGATTCGTGTTGAGTATAAGGGTGAGAAAAAGTTGTTCTCCGCGGAGGAGATTTCGTCGATGGTGTTGACGAAAATGAAGGAGGTTGCTGAAAGTTATTTGGGCAGGACAGTAAGTGACGCGGTTATAACAGTTCCTGCTTACTTCAATGACAGTCAACGTCAAGCAACGAAAGATGCAGGTGCTATAGCTGGTCTTAATGTGTTGAGAATCATTAATGAGCCGACAGCTGCGGCAATTGCCTATGGTTTAGACAAGAAGGTTGGTGGTGAGCGTAATGTGTTGATATTTGATTTGGGTGGTGGTCACTGCTGTTTCCACAGCTGCTTGTATGTCCTTCCAAGCAACATCTGGGTCAGCCTCGTCTTCACAACTAACTAAGTGTGACCTCAGTTGTTCCTGGAACCTACTTTTGGTTTTCTCGTTACTCAACTCAGTTCTAATGGGTCTTTTTAATGTGGCTTTTTTGCGTCCATTGAGGCGCAAGCAGATGCGTGCCCGTATTAGGGCATGGTCGGAGTCCAAGCAGGTGCTCCAGAATGAACGACAATCTTCTACCGACCCTCTCCAACGATGACTGATGGCAATATGGGTTATTTGAGTCCATCGTTGGTTTGGTGTAGGGGGTCGCCATGTTAGACGATGTCTCTCCTTATGCTTAAAATTTGTGTTTGCTAAAAATAAACGATTGTCTGAGCATAGCTGCAGTAGGCGATCACCATTATCTGTTCGCTGTGTCGGAATACTAAAATATCCACCTAAATGCCCTTCTGTTTGGTTTAAACTGCCTATCTGAGCATTAAAATCACCTGCTACGAGTACTATGTCTGAGCGTTTAGCTTTCTGAAGAAGTTCAGATAGCTTTCTGTAAAATTCATCTTTCACTTCATCTGAGCTGCAGTCAGTGGGAGCGTAGGCAGAAACGACAAAAAGGCAACGACGTGTGTCCCTATCCTTCCGAGTTCTTACGTAGCCGTTCAGCCGAACAACACATAGACGACTGTTGACGGGGATCCACTCTAGCAGTGCTTGTTCGGCCCTCATGCTTAGTGCTATGCCTACACCTGCCAGTCCACGAGAACTTGCCATCGGGTCACCAGATACACGAAGGGTGTATCTCGTTGGCTCTCCGTTTTGCCGAGGTGAGGTCAAGTGAATAACCACACTGGAGTCCTGTATGCGTGTTTCGGAGACACAACACACGTCAATGGTAAGAGACTCTAGGGTTTTAGCCAAGGAAGCCTGCTGACCGATTTGACATAGGGTTCGTACGTTGAAGGCTCCAATGTGTAGTTTGGAGCGAGGCTTCAGTAGACCTGGGATAGTGTTTTGCGCACTAGAATCGTTGGTTACGGTGACACTTGAGGTGGAAGCCGAGAGAGGAAATACAGAGTTGAAAGTCGATGTAGGAGGAATAATAGGAATTGAAGAAGGAGGTTGATTATGAATACAGTGGACTTGAGTGCTGTTAGAAGTATGAGGGCGGTTATCACTTCCCGGTTGCCCACACCGTGGAAGGGTTGTTCTGGAGGTACCTGAAAAGGAAATTGGATTAAAGGTGGTCTTAGTGAACTGAGAGCGTGACCGCAGTGCACAAGGGACAACTGCTTGAGGTCGGTCACACACGACCTTTTTATGGGTAATTTTTGTGTTAGCTCCGTACTTATTGAGACCTTACCGCCGGAGACGGATATCCGTGGGATAAGGCGAGGTGTGCATTTTTAGGGTCGACCTTTTCTAACCCCACCCCTCCTTGTGGGAAGGCAGCATCGCTGTCATGCTGGTTGTCTGAAGGAAACACCTTACTGCTGTCACACCTCTGTACAGTCAGCAGTACGACTTCGCCTTCGAACCTTGAGTTTGTTGCTTTTAGTCTTACCGCTCTTCAACCGACCTGTCTGACATGGTAGGACCTTGAGGAACGGTTGTTCCAGCCAGTATAGCTCGGTTGCTTCATCACGATAGGCAAGCCCGACCACCACGTCAAGGTAGCAACAACGGTAAACAAATCAGATCTAGGTTAAGAAAAAGTCTAAGGAACGACCGTGAGCAGTGGTGGGTAACGAAAGCAAAAGAGATGGAAAAGGCGGCGACTATAGGGAACACAAGACAGCTTTACAGACTAATAAAAGAAACTGGAATTAATAAGTCAAGTGTAAGTGAGATTATTTCGGAAAAAGATGATACTCTCATCTGCTCCCAGTCCAGACGTTTAGAACGATGGGCGGAACATTTTAGAGAACAGTTCAGCTGGCCTTCAGCTACTCTACAACTACCCTCCATTCCCAGACAAAGTGAATGGAACATTGAAGTAGGTCCCCCAACACTTGCTGAAGTTGAGAAGGCTATAGTTAATCTGAAACGAGGAAGGGCAGCTGGTCCAGATGGACTGGCTCCAGAAGTCTTTAAGGATGGTGGTCCAATTTTAGCGACTAGGTTGACTAACATTTTGGCTAAAATCTGGGAGTTAGACGTTATCCCATCTGACTGGTCGCAATCACTTATCGTCCCAATATATAAGAAAGGGTCAAAATCATCCTGTGACAACCACAGAGGGATTAGTTTAACAAACATAGTATCTAAAATACTGGCCTCGATAATTATCAAACGCCTAACTAAGACTCGTGAACTGCAAACACGAGAGAACCAAGCTGGCTTTAGACCTGGTCGTGGCTGCATCGACCACATATTCACCATTCGTCAGGTTCTAGAACACAGGCATACCTATCGGCGTCCGACGATGGTGGTCTTTCTTGACTTAAAAGCAGCATTTGACTCTGTAGACCGCGAGACTCTGTGGCAGTGTCTGTCATTGAAAGGCGTACCTCAGAAGTACATAAACCTTGTGAAGACTCTTTACTCGAACACTACTAGTCGAGTCAGGGCTTATGGCGAACTGTCATCTACCTTTACAACCTCAAGTGGTGTCCGTCAAGGCTGCCCACTTTCTCCATTTTTGTTTAACTTCATCATAGACCTATTGATGGAAATAACACTCTCGTCGACTGAATTCTCGGGTATTGATCTCCTTCCAGGAGATCCACTTATCGACCTAGAATATGCAGATGACATAGTCCTGTTTGGTGAAGACGCTGACAAAATGCAGAGTCTTCTGGTAGCACTAAGCAACAATGCCAGAATGTTTGGGATGCGCTTCTCTCCCTCTAAATGCAAGTTGTTGCTTCAGGACTGGTCTGCGTCAACACCTGAACTAAGGATAGGGAGTGAAGTAGTCGAACGTGTTGACAACTTCACTTATCTTGGAAGTCTGATCAGCCCTAATGGGTTGGTGTCTGACGAAATCTCAGCACGGATTCGTAAAGCTCGTTTGGCTTTTGCCAACTTACGTCACCTTTGGCGGAGGCGAGATATCCGTCTATCAATAAAAGGACGAGTATACTGCGCGGCTGTCCGTTCTGTTTTAATTTACGGCAGCGAAACATGGCCCTTAAGAGTAGAAGACACCCGTAAACTACTAGTATTTGACCACAGATGCCTTAGAAATATTGCTGGCATCTGCTGGGATCACCGGGTAAGTAATAGTGAGGTTAGACGCAGGGTATTAGGGAATGATGGTAAATCAGTTGATGAGGTTATGAATCTTCATCGACTGAGATGGTTGGGCCACGTGCTACGTATGCCTGAATACCGATTACCACGACGTGCAATGCTATCCGGTATTGGAGATGGTTGGAAGAAAGTTAGGGGCGGCCAAACCAAAACGTGGCATCAGTGCCTGAAGTCACTAACTTCTAGTCTGAGCCATGTTGGTAGATGCAGACTACTTGGTTGGGGTCCGCGTGACTTTCGTAACCAATGGTTGGAGACCCTTGGTGACATGGCTCAGAATCGATCACAATGGCGTCGGTGTATACACTCTCTGTCTTCTCTTAAACTAAGAGATTAAGATCACTTCACATCTTTCTTTCTACGAACTAATTCTTTCTTCCTATACTATATCCTTATTGCAATCTTTCTCCTATATATTACCACCTTTGACCTAACCACTCCTATGAATCCAGTGTTCATCTTGCTGTGCTAATGAGGTATGGCAACCTGGGCCGATGCATACATGTGCCTGGTCCTACGTTGTAGCTGACTGACTGACTGGGTGGTGGTACATTTGATGTGTCCATCTTGACAATTGAGGATGGTATATTCGAGGTGAAGTCTACTGCTGGTGATACACACTTGGGAGGTGAGGATTTTGACAATCGTCTGGTGGATCACTTTGTGAAAGAGTTCCAGAAGAAATTTAGTAAAGACATTCGTGACAATAAGCGTGCATTGCGTCGCCTGAGAACAGCATGTGAACGTGCGAAACGTACATTGAGTTCGAGCACCCAAACGAATCTGGAGATTGACTCGTTGTGTGATGGTATTGATTTTTACACGTCGATTACTCGTGCACGATTTGAGGAGTTGAATGCCGATCTATTCCGTGGTACATTGGGTCCTGTTGAGAAGGCTTTGCGAGATGCTAAGATGGATAAGGCCCAGATTCACGAAATAGTGTTGGTTGGTGGTTCCACTCGTATCCCTAAGGTGCAGAAGCTGTTGCAGGACTTCTTCAACGGGAAGGAGTTGAATAAATCTATTAATCCGGATGAAGCTGTGGCTTATGGTGCAGCTGTGCAGGCAGCTATTCTAAGTGGTGACAAGTGTGAGGCTGTGCAGGACTTGCTGTTGCTTGACGTGGCTCCATTGTCACTGGGTCTTGAAACGGCTGGTGGTGTAATGACGGCTCTGATTAAGCGTAATACGACAATTCCGACGAAGCAGACTCAAACGTTCACGACGTACTCGGACAACCAGCCTGGTGTGCTTATCCAGGTGTTTGAGGGTGAGCGTGCTCTGACGAAGGACAACAATCTGCTTGGCAAGTTCGAACTCTCAGGTATCCCACCTGCTCCTCGTGGTACTCCCCAGATTGAGGTGACGTTTGATATAGACGCGAACGGTATTCTGAACGTATCTGCTGTTGACAAGGGTACAGGGAAGCAGAACAAGATAACGATTACAAATGACAAGGGTCGTTTGACGAAGGAGGAGATTGAACGAATGGTAGCCGATGCGGACAAGTACAAGGCTGAGGATGAGAAGCAGAGAGATCGTGTTTCTGCGAAGAACTCGCTTGAGAGTTATGTGTACACAATGAAACAGCAAGTGGAGGGTGAGCTTAAAGAAAAGATATCTGAAAGTGATCGTCAAGTGATATTAAGTAAGTGTGAGGATACAATTGGTTGGTTGGACGTTAATCAATTGGCGGAGAAGCATGAGTATGAAAGTAAGCGGGAGGAGTTGGAGAAGGTCTGTGCGCCGATAATTACGAAGGTGTACCAGGCTGGTGGTATGCCAGGAGGCATGCATGAAACAGGTGGTGCTGGTGGTGGAAGTGGTAAGGGACCAACGATTGAGGAGGTCGACTAACCTGTAATTGTTGTGATTAATTATTTGGTACTTGAATGAATTTAGATTTTATCTGTAATGAATTTTGTCTTTTGATTTTTATTAGTTATTGGTTGTTTGATACAGGGTCAGGGTTTCGTTACTGGCGAGTAGTGAATATCGTTGTCTAATGTCTGGTCGCTCAGTGTAGGATAGTGATCGCTCTCTATCTCTTCCTGCCCTCTATGTTACGGAAGGCTTGTTAAGTTGAGTGTTGCGAATCCGTATGTGTGCAACGTGGCGTTTGCACCTCAGGACTATTGGTTGCGATTTAGGTGGCATGTCGTCTGTTCCTAGTTTATTAGACCGGCGTAGTTGTGGAGCGTTGTTGCGTACGCGTCGAGAAGACCGAGTGAGTGGTTTGTGTGACTAGATGTTCCGATGGGGATTTTGGTGTAGTTGGTGAGTGGAGTGATAAAGTTATTTTCGTCGAGTGTTGTTGAAGACAGGCGACTCGTACTTTTGGTCTGTAAGTGCATTTGCTCGAGAACTTGACTAACGGCCCAGTTAAGTGAGATGATTTCTTGTGAGATGGTAAGTGTTTAGTTGATTAGTATGAACGGTCTCCAATTACTAGTTAGTTATTTACTGCCTTGCTCAACAACAGACGAGTTGTAAAATAAGTAGGGATAACAACGCACGTGTTTCGCATAGTATTCTACATTGGGATATGTAGGTTGGTGAAATGTAATCAGCGTTTACTTAATTGTTGGAAGTGCCTATGTTTCATGGAGTCAATTGACTGCAGTGCGTCGAAGAACGGATGGTCGATCAGTTGGGCAATCGTATGTATGGAAGTGAATTTATTATAAGCTATGTCCAGTCATCGAAGTTATAAACCTTTTACTTTGTAATTGGTAGGTATGTGTTCAGACTTGTAGGTGGTGATTAGACTGGTTGTATTTGAATTTCGTAAAACGAGGTGTGGGGTTGTTTGGAGATGCGTATATGTAGCTGAAGTAGAAGTGGCATTCGTGTACGCAACAACTGGAAGGGGTAAGATGGCACATGTGTATAGATGAGGATGTTTGTAAGCTAGCATATTGGGCTGGCATTTTTATGCTGATTTCAATTCAGTCAACTAGTGCAAGATGTGAATGGTGCAGTCTCATGTCTCATTGACGCAACTAGGTGAGTTTCCAGTGAGTCAACGAAGCTTCCTGTGGGCAAGGCCAGACTTTCAGGATGAGATGAATTCGTGTTTTTAATTGAGCGCTTCCTGTGAACTAGAATCAGCCTGGAATTACAACATTTAGTATTAGAGAATTCCACGTCGTGGATTATTTGCCGACTCTGGGACTGGTTGGAAAAAGCGGAGAGGTGGTCAGTGTATGACATGGTGTCGTGGTATGAAAGAAAGCTGCAAAGGGCTGGCTTGTGTTAGTCCTTCACGACTCCCTGGTTGGGGTCCGAGAGATGGTGCAACACAGTGGCTAGAGACGTTATCAGATATGGCTCAGAATAGAAGCCAGTGGCGATCCTGCTGTAACCTTCTTTTACTTTCTTTGTAAAAAGTGGTTGTATCTTCCTAAACTGAAAGATTTCTTCTGATTGTACCTTTCCGTTCCCCCATTATCACTATTACTATTATTATTGTTATTATTACTATACTACCTTACACCAATCTCTTCGTTATTATTCTCTTGTTTTTTACGCTCCCTACCGTTTTTCCCTTCTCTTTAAACTCTCAATGTTTTGTGTGGCGAATATATATTTGGCGCACTCTTGTACCAATATTATGTGTTCAAATAAATAAATAAGCCACCAAACCATTGTTGTTTGATCAATTCAGAGAGAATGGTGTGAAACAGTGTTTTGGAAACATTGCTAATTTCGTTGTGGTGGTGTAGAGAAAGAGAGTAGTGAGTGGGAGTTGAAGTATATTGATAAAAGTGACTAGGGTACGGGATTATTAGTGGATGAGAAGAAGTGGTAGGGTGAAGTTGGTTGACTGTGTCCTGTAGGCCTTATAGTTCTGGCTTTATTCAAAGTCATCATGATAGTTAAATGTGTGCGCTTCGTCAGCTCTCGAACCTAGGATTTTCTAAGTCGTGTTGCGCCTAGCCTAGGAGTTCAGCAAAGATTTACAACTGAGAATTATGTGACTTCAGTTTTAGAATTGCGAGTGAGCATATCAAGGCGTATACTAAGTAATTGGGAAATTGTGTGAATCAGTGAAAAATGCGAGCACAACCTGACACCAGTGAACTTGTGAGTGTCCTTTGTAGAATAATTTTGAACCTCACTATCTGTCCTAGTTAGCTAATGAATGAGTGGCACGATCGAAGCATTGTCTCAAGCTACTTATATACTTCATGATAGTTTAAACCTGAAAGTTTTCATAATATTTCCTAAAGTGTGTCATTCATTTTCGTTGTTTTCCTTGACTTGTTGCATGGGATAAAATATTTATATTGGAGTGGGTTTTCATCGTGATTTGATCTGATGTTAGTGACCGAATTGTACCATGTTAGTTGGTCGGAGGTAATCGACAAGAAGCTGTAGACCCAGGTTTCGTGCTCACTGGCACTCGTCAGTAAGGTGTGCCTGGAATCTTGAGAGAAATGGACGTCCTGTGTGGACTTCGAACCCACGTCAATCAGTGTCGTAGTCAGAGGTGCTAGCATGGAGCAATTCGGGCTTCTACCGACTGTTATGTCTGACTCAAGCATATGATTAAGCACACCGATTACTTTTGTTCATTGCAACATTTTTATCCTTACGATGCCAGTAGAGTTTCTCCTCCTGACATTCTATTAATTAATCAGTTGTGAGGAGACTGAGTTGTGGTTTATTGGAATTCTATCTGTTGATTATCACAAAGTGAGTCGACCTGAAAATAAATGTATTGACATGTTGTGTTAATCCAGTTGTTAATAGTAATGATAATAATAATAATGATTATTATTATTATTACTATTATTGTTATTATTATTCAATATTATATTTTGGTACAACATAGGATTCCCAGCACGAGGTTTGGTTATGAAACAATTCTTCATCTGTCGATCAGTCTTTTGACTTCTAACATGAGTCTTTCTAGTCACTTCGACAATCAACGATAATTCAGTCAACCATAACGGTCATGTCACCGACCTCCTGTAGGACTGAGACATTTACACTGGTTCATCACAGAGTGGTAACCGATCCCATGTTTGTCTAATTCTGAATGATGATCGAATTCCATCGAACACTCGAACAAGTAGCCACATTGCAACTGTTCAGATGGAATTGGATCAGCATTAAGAAGTAGGCAAACATGACATAATGATGTACAGCCGGGCATAGTTACAGCTCGGTGACTAACCAGTATGAACTGAACTATACCTGATCCCTAAATATCACACGTGTTAGTTCAACTACTTATAATTGTGTCAGTAGTCAAACTCGATATTGGAATGTTTTTTGTGTTTGAGGTTGTGAATGGGTGAATGGGATGGGTGCACGTCTTAGATTTTGTCCATTTGTCCACACTGACCAGACAATTGCGTTTGTATTAGGCACCCTGCATTGCATTGTACTTAGGGAGGCTATGAGTGAAATTTTGACTAGGAAAGCATCTTGTTTGTGAGTATTTGGTCAGTAGTCTGGTGGTTGAGTGTGATTGGCCAGTAGTGAATACTTGTCGACAGGTCATTGGTCGATTGTTTTCTATCGAAGGTCATCGAAACTTCTAGTATGTTCTACGTGTAAAGTATTTAAGCAGGTGCACAGCTTGCAGTGGTATTAATTGAGTGATTCGATTACCTGTGTTTGTTCGTTTTGACGTATCTCGAAATGCCTAACGCCATTGGGATCGATCTTGGTACAACATATTCGTGTGTTGGTGTTTTCCAGCATGGCAAAGTGGAGATAATTGCCAATGATCAGGGTAACAGAACGACACCGAGTTATGTGGCGTTCACAGATGCTGAGCGTTTAATTGGTGATGGAGCGAAGAACCAAGTGGCTATTAATCCAACAAATACAGTGTTTGATGCGAAGCGGCTAATCGGTCGTCGTTTCGATGATCCATCAGTTCAGAGTGATATGAAGCATTGGCCATTTGAGGTGGTTCAAGTCGGTGGTAAGCTGAAGATTCGTGTTGAGTATAAGGGTGAGAAAAAGTTGTTCTCCGCGGAGGAGATTTCGTCGATGGTGTTGACGAAAATGAAGGAGGTTGCTGAAAGTTATTTGGGCAGGACAGTAAGTGACGCGGTTATAACAGTTCCTGCTTACTTCAATGACAGTCAACGTCAAGCAACGAAAGATGCAGGTGCTATAGCTGGTCTTAATGTGTTGAGAATCATTAATGAGCCGACAGCTGCGGCAATTGCCTATGGTTTAGACAAGAAGGTTGGTGGTGAGCGTAATGTGTTGATATTTGATTTGGGTGGTGGTACATTTGATGTGTCCATCTTGACAATTGAGGATGGTATATTCGAGGTGAAGTCTACTGCTGGTGATACACACTTGGGAGGTGAAGATTTTGACAATCGTCTGGTGGATCACTTTGTGAAAGAGTTCCAGAAGAAATTTAGTAAAGACATTCGTGACAATAAGCGTGCATTGCGTCGCCTGAGAACAGCATGTGAACGTGCGAAACGTACATTGAGTTCGAGCACCCAAACGAATCTGGAGATTGACTCGTTGTGTGATGGTATTGATTTTTACACGTCGATTACTCGTGCACGATTTGAGGAGTTGAATGCCGATCTATTCCGTGGTACATTGGGTCCTGTTGAGAAGGCTTTGCGAGATGCTAAGATGGATAAGGCCCAGATTCACGAAATAGTGTTGGTTGGTGGTTCCACTCGTATCCCTAAGGTGCAGAAGCTGTTGCAGGACTTCTTCAACGGGAAGGAGTTGAATAAATCTATTAATCCGGATGAAGCTGTGGCTTATGGTGCAGCTGTGCAGGCAGCTATTCTAAGTGGTGACAAGTGTGAGGCTGTGCAGGACTTGCTGTTGCTTGACGTGGCTCCATTGTCACTGGGTCTTGAAACGGCTGGTGGTGTAATGACGGCTCTGATTAAGCGTAATACGACAATTCCGACGAAGCAGACTCAAACGTTCACGACGTACTCGGACAACCAGCCTGGTGTGCTTATCCAGGTGTTTGAGGGTGAGCGTGCTCTGACGAAGGACAACAATCTGCTTGGCAAGTTCGAACTCTCAGGTATCCCACCTGCTCCTCGTGGTACTCCCCAGATTGAGGTGACGTTTGATATAGACGCGAACGGTATTCTGAACGTATCTGCTGTTGACAAGGGTACAGGGAAGCAGAACAAGATAACGATTACAAATGACAAGGGTCGTTTGACGAAGGAGGAGATTGAACGAATGGTAGCCGATGCGGACAAGTACAAGGCTGAGGATGAGAAGCAGAGAGATCGTGTTTCTGCGAAGAACTCGCTTGAGAGTTATGTGTACACAATGAAACAGCAAGTGGAGGGTGAGCTTAAAGAAAAGATATCTGAAAGTGATCGTCAAGTGATATTAAGTAAGTGTGAGGATACAATTGGTTGGTTGGACGTTAATCAATTGGCGGAGAAGCATGAGTATGAAAGTAAGCGGGAGGAGTTGGAGAAGGTCTGTGCGCCGATAATTACGAAGGTGTACCAGGCTGGTGGTATGCCAGGAGGCATGCATGAAACAGGTGGTGCTGGTGGTGGAAGTGGTAAGGGACCAACGATTGAGGAGGTCGACTAACCTGTAATTGTTGTGATTAATTATTTGGTACTTGAATGAATTTAGATTTTATCTGTAATGAATTTTGTCTTTTGATTTTTATTAGTTATTGGTTGTTTGATACAGGGTCAGGGTTTCGTTACTGGCGAGTAGTGAATATCGTTGTCTAATGTCTGGTCGCTCAGTGTAGGATAGTGATCGCTCTCTATCTCTTCCTGCCCTCTATGTTACGGAAGGCTTGTTAAGTTGAGTGTTGCGAATCCGTATGTGTGCAACGTGGCGTTTGCACCTCAGGACTATTGGTTGCGATTTAGGTGGCATGTCGTCTGTTCCTAGTTTATTAGACCGGCGTAGTTGTGGAGCGTTGTTGCGTACGCGTCGAGAAGACCGAGTGAGTGGTTTGTGTGACTAGATGTTCCGATGGGGATTTTGGTGTAGTTGGTGAGTGGAGTGATAAAGTTATTTTCGTCGAGTGTTGTTGAAGACAGGCGACTCGTACTTTTGGTCTGTAAGTGCATTTGCTCGAGAACTTGACTAACGGCCCAGTTAAGTGAGATGATTTCTTGTGAGATGGTAAGTGTTTAGTTGATTAGTATGAACGGTCTCCAATTACTAGTTAGTTATTTACTGCCTTGCTCAACAACAGACGAGTTGTAAAATAAGTAGGGATAACAACGCACGTGTTTCGCATAGTATTCTACATTGGGATATGTAGGTTGGTGAAATGTAATCAGCGTTTACTTAATTGTTGGAAGTGCCTATGTTTCATGGAGTCAATTGACTGCAGTGCGTCGAAGAACGGATGGTCGATCAGTTGGGCAATCGTATGTATGGAAGTGAATTTATTATAAGCTATGTCCAGTCATCGAAGTTATAAACCTTTTACTTTGTAATTGGTAGGTATGTGTTCAGACTTGTAGGTGGTGATTAGACTGGTTGTATTTGAATTTCGTAAAACGAGGTGTGGGGTTGTTTGGAGATGCGTATATGTAGCTGAAGTAGAAGTGGCATTCGTGTACGCAACAACTGGAAGGGGTAAGATGGCACATGTGTATAGATGAGGATGTTTGTAAGCTAGCATATTGGGCTGGCATTTTTATGCTGATTTCAATTCAGTCAACTAGTGCAAGATGTGAATGGTGCAGTCTCATGTCTCATTGACGCAACTAGGTGAGTTTCCAGTGAGTCAACGAAGCTTCCTGTGGGCAAGGCCAGACTTTCAGGATGAGATGAATTCGTGTTTTTAATTGAGCGCTTCCTGTGAACTAGAATCAGCCTGGAATTACAACATTTAGTATTAGAGAATTCCACGTCGTGGATTATTTGCCGACTCTGGGACTGGTTGGAAAAAGCGGAGAGGTGGTCAGTGTATGACATGGTGTCGTGGTATGAAAGAAAGCTGCAAAGGGCTGGCTTGTGTTAGTCCTTCACGACTCCCTGGTTGGGGTCCGAGAGATGGTGCAACACAGTGGCTAGAGACGTTATCAGATATGGCTCAGAATAGAAGCCAGTGGCGATCCTGCTGTAACCTTCTTTTACTTTCTTTGTAAAAAGTGGTTGTATCTTCCTAAACTGAAAGATTTCTTCTGATTGTACCTTTCCGTTCCCCCATTATCACTATTACTATTATTATTGTTATTATTACTATACTACCTTACACCAATCTCTTCGTTATTATTCTCTTGTTTTTTACGCTCCCTACCGTTTTTCCCTTCTCTTTAAACTCTCAATGTTTTGTGTGGCGAATATATATTTGGCGCACTCTTGTACCAATATTATGTGTTCAAATAAATAAATAAGCCACCAAACCATTGTTGTTTGATCAATTCAGAGAGAATGGTGTGAAACAGTGTTTTGGAAACATTGCTAATTTCGTTGTGGTGGTGTAGAGAAAGAGAGTAGTGAGTGGGAGTTGAAGTATATTGATAAAAGTGACTAGGGTACGGGATTATTAGTGGATGAGAAGAAGTGGTAGGGTGAAGTTGGTTGACTGTGTCCTGTAGGCCTTATAGTTCTGGCTTTATTCAAAGTCATCATGATAGTTAAATGTGTGCGCTTCGTCAGCTCTCGAACCTAGGATTTTCTAAGTCGTGTTGCGCCTAGCCTAGGAGTTCAGCAAAGATTTACAACTGAGAATTATGTGACTTCAGTTTTAGAATTGCGAGTGAGCATATCAAGGCGTATACTAAGTAATTGGGAAATTGTGTGAATCAGTGAAAAATGCGAGCACAACCTGACACCAGTGAACTTGTGAGTGTCCTTTGTAGAATAATTTTGAACCTCACTATCTGTCCTAGTTAGCTAATGAATGAGTGGCACGATCGAAGCATTGTCTCAAGCTACTTATATACTTCATGATAGTTTAAACCTGAAAGTTTTCATAATATTTCCTAAAGTGTGTCATTCATTTTCGTTGTTTTCCTTGACTTGTTGCATGGGATAAAATATTTATATTGGAGTGGGTTTTCATCGTGATTTGATCTGATGTTAGTGACCGAATTGTACCATGTTAGTTGGTCGGAGGTAATCGACAAGAAGCTGTAGACCCAGGTTTCGTGCTCACTGGCACTCGTCAGTAAGGTGTGCCTGGAATCTTGAGAGAAATGGACGTCCTGTGTGGACTTCGAACCCACGTCAATCAGTGTCGTAGTCAGAGGTGCTAGCATGGAGCAATTCGGGCTTCTACCGACTGTTATGTCTGACTCAAGCATATGATTAAGCACACCGATTACTTTTGTTCATTGCAACATTTTTATCCTTACGATGCCAGTAGAGTTTCTCCTCCTGACATTCTATTAATTAATCAGTTGTGAGGAGACTGAGTTGTGGTTTATTGGAATTCTATCTGTTGATTATCACAAAGTGAGTCGACCTGAAAATAAATGTATTGACATGTTGTGTTAATCCAGTTGTTAATAGTAATGATAATAATAATAATGATTATTATTATTATTACTATTATTGTTATTATTATTCAATATTATATTTTGGTACAACATAGGATTCCCAGCACGAGGTTTGGTTATGAAACAATTCTTCATCTGTCGATCAGTCTTTTGACTTCTAACATGAGTCTTTCTAGTCACTTCGACAATCAACGATAATTCAGTCAACCATAACGGTCATGTCACCGACCTCCTGTAGGACTGAGACATTTACACTGGTTCATCACAGAGTGGTAACCGATCCCATGTTTGTCTAATTCTGAATGATGATCGAATTCCATCGAACACTCGAACAAGTAGCCACATTGCAACTGTTCAGATGGAATTGGATCAGCATTAAGAAGTAGGCAAACATGACATAATGATGTACAGCCGGGCATAGTTACAGCTCGGTGACTAACCAGTATGAACTGAACTATACCTGATCCCTAAATATCACACGTGTTAGTTCAACTACTTATAATTGTGTCAGTAGTCAAACTCGATATTGGAATGTTTTTTGTGTTTGAGGTTGTGAATGGGTGAATGGGATGGGTGCACGTCTTAGATTTTGTCCATTTGTCCACACTGACCAGACAATTGCGTTTGTATTAGGCACCCTGCATTGCATTGTACTTAGGGAGGCTATGAGTGAAATTTTGACTAGGAAAGCATCTTGTTTGTGAGTATTTGGTCAGTAGTCTGGTGGTTGAGTGTGATTGGCCAATAGTGAATACTTGTCGACAGGTCATTGGTCGATTGTTTTCTATCGAAGGTCATCGAAACTTCTAGTATGTTCTACGTGTAAAGTATTTAAGCAGGTGCACAGCTTGCAGTGGTATTAATTGAGTGATTCGATTACCTGTGTTTGTTCGTTTTGACGTATCTCGAAATGCCTAACGCCATTGGGATCGATCTTGGTACAACATATTCGTGTGTTGGTGTTTTCCAGCATGGCAAAGTGGAGATAATTGCCAATGATCAGGGTAACAGAACGACACCGAGTTATGTGGCGTTCACAGATGCTGAGCGTTTAATTGGTGATGGAGCGAAGAACCAAGTGGCTATTAATCCAACAAATACAGTGTTTGATGCGAAGCGGCTAATCGGTCGTCGTTTCGATGATCCATCAGTTCAGAGTGATATGAAGCATTGGCCATTTGAGGTGGTTCAAGTCGGTGGTAAGCTGAAGATTCGTGTTGAGTATAAGGGTGAGAAAAAGTTGTTCTCCGCGGAGGAGATTTCGTCGATGGTGTTGACGAAAATGAAGGAGGTTGCTGAAAGTTATTTGGGCAGGACAGTAAGTGACGCGGTTATAACAGTTCCTGCTTACTTCAATGACAGTCAACGTCAAGCAACGAAAGATGCAGGTGCTATAGCTGGTCTTAATGTGTTGAGAATCATTAATGAGCCGACAGCTGCGGCAATTGCCTATGGTTTAGACAAGAAGGTTGGTGGTGAGCGTAATGTGTTGATATTTGATTTGGGTGGTGGTACATTTGATGTGTCCATCTTGACAATTGAGGATGGTATATTCGAGGTGAAGTCTACTGCTGGTGATACACACTTGGGAGGTGAAGATTTTGACAATCGTCTGGTGGATCACTTTGTGAAAGAGTTCCAGAAGAAATTTAGTAAAGACATTCGTGACAATAAGCGTGCATTGCGTCGCCTGAGAACAGCATGTGAACGTGCGAAACGTACATTGAGTTCGAGCACCCAAACGAATCTGGAGATTGACTCGTTGTGTGATGGTATTGATTTTTACACGTCGATTACTCGTGCACGATTTGAGGAGTTGAATGCCGATCTATTCCGTGGTACATTGGGTCCTGTTGAGAAGGCTTTGCGAGATGCTAAGATGGATAAGGCCCAGATTCACGAAATAGTGTTGGTTGGTGGTTCCACTCGTATCCCTAAGGTGCAGAAGCTGTTGCAGGACTTCTTCAACGGGAAGGAGTTGAATAAATCTATTAATCCGGATGAAGCTGTGGCTTATGGTGCAGCTGTGCAGGCAGCTATTCTAAGTGGTGACAAGTGTGAGGCTGTGCAGGACTTGCTGTTGCTTGACGTGGCTCCATTGTCACTGGGTCTTGAAACGGCTGGTGGTGTAATGACGGCTCTGATTAAGCGTAATACGACAATTCCGACGAAGCAGACTCAAACGTTCACGACGTACTCGGACAACCAGCCTGGTGTGCTTATCCAGGTGTTTGAGGGTGAGCGTGCTCTGACGAAGGACAACAATCTGCTTGGCAAGTTCGAACTCTCAGGTATCCCACCTGCTCCTCGTGGTACTCCCCAGATTGAGGTGACGTTTGATATAGACGCGAACGGTATTCTGAACGTATCTGCTGTTGACAAGGGTACAGGGAAGCAGAACAAGATAACGATTACAAATGACAAGGGTCGTTTGACGAAGGAGGAGATTGAACGAATGGTAGCCGATGCGGACAAGTACAAGGCTGAGGATGAGAAGCAGAGAGATCGTGTTTCTGCGAAGAACTCGCTTGAGAGTTATGTGTACACAATGAAACAGCAAGTGGAGGGTGAGCTTAAAGAAAAGATATCTGAAAGTGATCGTCAAGTGATATTAAGTAAGTGTGAGGATACAATTGGTTGGTTGGACGTTAATCAATTGGCGGAGAAGCATGAGTATGAAAGTAAGCGGGAGGAGTTGGAGAAGGTCTGTGCGCCGATAATTACGAAGGTGTACCAGGCTGGTGGTATGCCAGGAGGCATGCATGAAACAGGTGGTGCTGGTGGTGGAAGTGGTAAGGGACCAACGATTGAGGAGGTCGACTAACCTGTAATTGTTGTGATTAATTATTTGGTACTTGAATGAATTTAGATTTTATCTGTAATGAATTTTGTCTTTTGATTTTTATTAGTTATTGGTTGTTTGATACAGGGTCAGGGTTTCGTTACTGGCGAGTAGTGAATATCGTTGTCTAATGTCTGGTCGCTCAGTGTAGG